AACATGATCGTGCAATCAGATTTGTTTATTTCAACTGGCGCATGTGAAACAAAAAAGATCATTGGTCACCTATCATTTACAAACAAAGATACATTTCCCTCAACCTCACATTAACAGTTTAGTGCTTTGCTCACTGATTCTGTAATCTGCAATGTTTTTCAGTATATTTTTCCTTTCTTTTTTTCTTTGCAGCCATGCTTTTCCCTGATTGGTTACTCCACCTGTCAGTCACAGCCATCTGAAAATGGGGCGATTCACCAGTGACCAGGCCTCACATCTTCTTAAAGTATTAAAGAAGTGTGTGTGTGTGCTGGAACCCAGGCAATCCCAGGGCTGCTGCAGTGTGACAAAATGCACCAAAGGCAGGTCAGAGCTAAATCACATGGAAACCACATGTAGTGCATTTCAACACACACTGCAATAATAAATCATGTTGCCATTTTGGTTTCATGCTGCTATAGAGACTGAATTGCAAATATTTTCTGAAGAAAGTGTACTGACTTGAGCAATACCTCAGAATATGAACCTTCTTCCACTCAGTGTTATCCATCCATCTTATAACACTCGGCAGTGGAGGTAGACATGCCTTTGGATGTTCAGAGGAAACAAACAGAAGCCATCTGTTGGGAGAAATGATGAATTAACAGCTTCACTGCTACAGCAATTAGTTTGTGACAGTTTGGAGCGGTATCAATAATTTGTAATCATAGCTGCATGAAATCTCACTTTTCCACCACATGAAGAGGTTAGTTATGAATGTAATTGAACCAAAATAATACAAATATTCTAATCATGTAAACAAACAAGATGATCCCATGAAAGAATGCTAATGCCATTAACCACAAATTCAAATTTTACAATTCTACATTTCATACATCTTGTAGTTATACCATGTCCAATAATAGTAACAAATATAGATTATATATATATATATATAGATAGATAGATAGATAGATACAGATATTAACCATAAACCTGATATAATATATTTGCCTCTCAACCAGTCACATCTATTGACATAATTTCTCTCTTGTCTCCTTATTTTGTGCACTATTTCTTCAGATCTCCACCAGCATTTGTGTTTAGGAAGATATTTTTCCTAATAAGTCAAGTAATTCACATTGTGTATTCCTATATTTTTAAATAGAGCAGGGCAAGTTCTGCAGTTTAACTGACATATTGCAGATTTGTTGTCCTAGTTTATAGTTAAGACACCTGTGATGACTTGACCTATTCACATGCAACAAAAAGTTTTAATAAAAAAATTCATAAATAAACTAAAGGGACAGTATTTTTTTTTTTTTTTACAGTAGCTTCAAAAAGTAATGCAATTATTCAACTCCAAATACGTGATTATATTTAGTTTAAAGGGCTTTAAAATATATGACACTGGATTATAAATTAGGATATTCATTCAAAAATAGTTAATTGCTCATTAAGTTATAAAGGCCCCTGTCCACCTGAAATCATGACATAATCAGTTTCTAGAAAGGAACCTGTATGCTTTGCACATGTCATTGTTAAAGGACCCATATTTTGCTATTTTCTGATCTACGTTTCCTCACCACAAACATACCTTGGCTTGTGTTTTGTTTCATTCACACACATCTAACAAACAAACCCTGCATATTTAGGCTGAGTTCTGTTGCATCCTCTGATGTCATGTGGTATTACTGTGTTTTTAAACTCCATACACCTTCACTAGAATCATTTGAATAATTTCAGGTATGTTTTTGATGGAGCAATAACATACTGCATGATTTAAAGCTTACAAGAATCAATTATGTGAAATGTACGACCTTCAATTGTCTCCTAGAAATCTATACACCCAATTTTTGTCAGGGCTGATTCCCTGAAGTGAACTCTCCAAGGCAGAGTCTAATGTAGTGTAATGGGACACTCGTGAACCCAGTCTGCAGTCATGCCCCATCACACCTGAGTCGCTCCATGCTCCTCTCAGCGCCACTCTTTGTTATCATTGTTGACATTGGGTGCATGTCTTCTCTCAGCTTGTTTTATGGCGTTTTTGGATCTAGACATCTTTATGGTGGAGGAATATGGCTAATTTTGCCCAACCATGTTTCTTGTAATCGATGTATAATATATAAGAGAGGACTGGGGCAGCAACTGGCATCCACCTGTAACATGTAAACATAAGTAAGTATAAGGCTTTTTGCTATATCCTTTGGTTTTCTTGTAACTGGTGCCCAAAGTAAATAGTTCCTGATGATTTGAATATCTTATTTGCAACTTTAGGAGTGGCTAAGAAGGGAGCTAATGTTTTCTTCTCTCTTGCCAGACATGGTGGTGTACATGCAGAACTTATGGATAAAGGGAATTGTGTACTGTTGCTGTGATATCCTCGCATAGTGCCCGATCAAGATCCATCAAAGGTCAGTGTAATTATTATAGTCTATATGCAATAGAGTTAGATTTTTTTTCAGTTTTCTTTATACTGGAAATAATGCTTTTGAACAAGCTGTCAGGGCCTTGCATTTATTAATGTTAATAGCTGAAGTTGAATTTGCAATGATGAATGTAGGACATATATAATATTTTCACATATAGATACAACTGTATCCTTACCTATATTTAGAGAGTATTGCGTATAGTTGTCAAGTTAACAAAGTTCTTATTTCAGAACTAACATGTAAGTATGTTTTAGGATTAGGTGTATATGCAAAAGTTAAAATTAGAACAACGAATATATAATCTACAGACATCACTACATTCCATAGGCCAATAATATTTAATCCAGACAAACAGAGCAGCTAACATTAATATAGTTAAAATACATATATTTGTTGAACTACAGTGAGCTCTTGGGTTTAGTCAGAGAAATTAAATCAACATTTGTGAATTTAATCTTCTGAATATTTCATGACAAAGTACAATGTAATCAATAGGGAAAACTGTGTGGGAGTATGACATTATCACAGTCTAGAAACTAAAAACCACCAGACCTATATTATTACTTATTAATAACTATTAAGTATAATGTACTATGTAATAAATATTATATAGTATCACACTGTTAAAACCGACTACTATTAATTACTACTAATGTAAAATCTAAACCTTGTTGGATGATGTTTATATAAATTATTTTTAAGTTTTACAAATATTTGCATCTGTACTTGAAGCTGACTTTAGTGCCCACTCTGAACATCCCCTGTAGTGTTTATTATACTTACTTATGGAGTGAAAGTATGATGTGTTTGGTGGTCAGTGTTCCAGATTAAGTTGTCTTGTAAACCAGATGCTCGCTCATGCCAAGGTTAAGCTGAAATTTAACCTACTCATGGGCCACACAGATTACCACAGATCAGTGTCCCCTTTGGCCAAAATGCTCTTCTGTTTCTTCTCCGTGCCTCGTGTAGTCATACCTCTCTGAAAGCAGATCACAATACATTTACACTAAACGTCATTAACCTTCTTTGGGCTGATCACTTTTACATTTTACAGGCCAAGTGTTAACATTAGCAACCCTATAGCCTATACTTAGAGGGTCACTTCATTATTTGTGTACTGTTACTGAGACTGATGCCTTACTAACTAACACTGACAGGATACCAGTGCTTGAGGACAGCTTAGTTAGATAACCCCATGCACAAACACTGTCTCTCTCCATGGCTTCTGCTCCCAGAGAGGTGTCCCCTGGGTGCTTAGGTTTCACCCTCCCCTCTCGAGTATCTCTGTATTGGCACATATAGAGGCTGGATGCATTATTCAACGTGTCTGCTGTTAGTTAGACTCTGTACATTAGTCTTACAAGAGCACAATTAACCGGAAGGAGAAGCATGTACAGGGCGCTAATTGCTCTGCATACACAATGTGACACTAATGATAATGCAGTAGCAGTGGACTTGGTGCTAGAGATTAAGTATTCTGCAGTCACACAGTAGGCTAGTGTTACTAACTTGCTACTAAAAGGCTATTATGTGAAAATTTAAGTTAAAAGGTCCTATATTATGCAAAATTGACTCTTGTAATCATTAAGCCATGTTAGAATGTTGTTACCACATCAAAAACTTACCCAAAGTTATGTTTTGTTTCATTCACACATGTTTGAGTAATCCATCTTTAAATATCTCCAAAGCTCAAAATACTCGGTTCCACCTTGTGACAGTTACCTTTTGTTCACTAGCGACAGGAAATTCTAGGGCTAAAATCAACCAAATAATTCTAGTGAAGGGGTATGGAGTTTAAAAACAGTGGAGCACTTCCTGAATTACTACATGACATCACAAGTTGGAACAGTGTTTTCTGTTTGAGAGAAAAGCTCAGCCTAAATGTGCAGCGTTTGTATGTTAGACATGTGTGAATGAAAAAAAAAAAGGTATGTTTCCAGGTAAGTTTTTTATGAGGAAACAACATTTTTGACACTTTAAAATGAATAAAATATAGGCTTACTCTGCATATAGCCATATAAACACGAAATTGGCAAGTAATAATAACAGCTAATAATAACATCATTATGTTTTAAGGGAAAATTCTTTATAGCATGCAATAGGCCGATTATTTGACTATCAATTCTGGTAGGGAAAAAGGCACAGGCACAGTCGTGTGTTTGCACGATAAGGCTTGCACACACAGTTTGCGCGCCAGTGTAACCATAAGGAAAAGAATGGCCTATTGCCCTGGTCTGCACTCAGGGCCCAAACCTGCCCTCTGCTGTGTGTGAATGGGCGTCTATATGAGGAAAGGCTCACGCTGCCCGGCTAAATCCTGCTAATCCCATCGTTTCCCCGGCCACTCAGAGTCAGTCTCCAATGGTCCCCCCTGCGCTCCGGGCATTGCATCCAAGATTAACTGCGTTAGCTCCTCCTCCCAGGTCTGTGCGCGCCCTCCGCCAGGTTAGCAACAACTGTTTTCTATGCTAACCTTTTGCACAGTAATGGATATAAACATGCCCTTTGCCTTATTAAAACAATGTAAGTAGCTTTTATCTTTTACTAAGGCTCTTAACTCTGTGTTCATTTTAACAGGTGTAAATAATACAGAATGAGGACGCACAGGTGTGTCACCGTGATGGTCACTGCTCTAGTGATGCTTGCAGTAGCCTGCACCGTTAATCTTTAGAGGCTTTTAGTTGCATAGTAAAGTGTAACCTAGATGCTTGTAAAGTTGGAATCAATAAAAACATATTAGGCCTACAGGCTAATGTATAAAAAGCGTAGTCAACCGAAGCTAAGAGGCATAAGGCAAGAAATTGGTAATAACATAGCTCCTTTCTGTTTTAAATGGCTCACATTTGACTACACTATTTTGTATGTTATAATGTTGTCAGAAACATACCTGTAGTTATATTTTCGTTCATTCACACAAACTCAACTCAAACTGAAAACACTCTGTTCCACCTTGTGATGTCATGTGGTAATACTGCGAGTACTCCACACACAGTTTTACTAGAATAATTTAGATAATTTCATACCTAGAATTTTTTTTTATTTCTACTGACCAAGAGGTAAAAGGTAGATGTTAGTTTGAAAACTACTGCTTCATGACATCACAAGTTGGAACAGGGTATTTTGAGCTTTGGAAATGTAGACAGACTCATAATAAAGGATTACTCAAACATGTGTGAATGAAACAAAACACAACTTCAAATATGTTTTTTAGGAGGTAACAACATTATAAATTGGCTTAAAGCTAGAGTAAATTTTGCATAATATAGGACTTTCAAGTTCAAAACTAGTGCTCATTAAAGCTGTCGTAGAAATAGGCAAAATATAGAAATATCATTGGTTAATATGTATTTTCTCTTCTCAGGAGAACACTCCTGAAGATGTTTCCTCGATCAGGGAAATCCATTGTGTTCGACAATTTTCCAGACCCCACAGACACATGGGAAATCATCGAGACCATCGGAAAAGGCACCTATGGAAAAGTCTACAAAGTGCTCAACAAAAAGGACGGAAGCAAAGCAGCTGTCAAAATACTGGACCCCATCCATGTAAATGAGTTTGAGTAAACACACATGACATAAAATGAGATAATATATGTACAAAAACAAAAAAAAAACTGTGAAAAATGCAGTACTATCTTGCTATACCATATGCACTAAATTAGGTTGGGAGCTTGTAGTTGGTGTTGTTTATGCTTCTGGGGTGATGTGAGGTGAATTTGTTCCTGACTTGTAGTGCTAAACCTGCCAAGATTGGAAACAAACAGGGAGATACAATCAGACAAATCCTCCTCCGCTCTGTAATCACACACATTTCTTTTCTTCTGGAATGGTTTCTGTCAGTATTTTACCATTTCTGAGTAAAGCCTTTAACTCACTCCTACATTATAAAGAAACTATTATTTAAAAGTGACTCAGGCGGAGACTCTGCCACCTCCTTGTCTCCATGGAGATGTTGCTTTGCCTGAAATGTTCTGCAATATGGCATTAAATCTCCATGAAGACAAGCAGATGAGGCTACCAGGTCAAGTTGCAAGTGAGATCAGTGGACAGGTAATAATGTAAGTTTTTCAATGTAATTATGACAAAAAACACCCATAGTTGAGTAAATTCAAGATAAAGAAATTTAATGTCTGTGGAACATTCTAGGCACAGCAATAACATTACCATGGAAACAAGCAGGTGCCAGACCCTCCACCAGAAATATTCCATTGTGCACCTTTAATAGTAAAACTGAATATTACCTTTAATAGTGCATTACTCAGACCAATTTTATCTTTTAGGACAGTCTATACAGCTTGTCTGTATGACTTATTTACTAAACCTTTTCCTTTATCAAACCAAGCCTTTAGAGTCATTAGTCTTTTGTGCATTTGTTAGTGTTTTCCATTATTGAAAATGATTATCTGCGGACCACTAGTCTGCGCAGACCATCATTATTATCATCATTTTAATCACTGTCTCATTATTTCGTGTACAGCTGCCAAATCTCGTCCTCTATTAGAAAAGCAGGTCAGACTCTTGTATTTGTCATCTATTCATGTAATCAGTCAAAGTTTACTTACAGAGTACTTTGCAGCAACAGGAGGAAGACCAAAATGCAGTGCATCTCAAACATAAGTAGTCCTGTCACAATATTTTTTAAAGTGAGATATATTGCTTCAGAAAATATGACAATAAAATACTGATTCCAATACCACAATGATAATAAAAATACAATTTAAATTGTAGTCTTTTATCTGTGTAAATGCAGTGTCCAGGTAGGTTCCATAGTGGTCCACGGATGTACTCTGTGTGGTGATACTTTTTCTGATACAGCTCGAGATCATTCTAAAACTATAGGGCTAAAGATTAATTTCTGTCCTGTGAATGTGACTTTTTTAGTATCAGTACTTGCTCAAATGAGTTTCAGTACTTCAGTACATTATTGAAACTACTATACGCCACTGACACAGTAACCCTAAACCAGGTTAATCATAGTAAATCATTTTCTAAAGATACAATATTGTTAAAAACATGAAAAACATGATTTTGATACTTGTTTGGTATCTATAATTAGTCATATAAGTTACCTATTGAAGCCTCTACAATTCAACTCTTATTGTAGCCTACAAAAAGAAAAAAATTGCTCGAAGAAACTGTACATACAACACAGTAAGTATTGAGTCTCAAAAGATATTTTTCCAGTTATTGAACACTAAGTTGATATAGTAATTATGGTGGCAAGCCCAAATTTTATGATCTTTTCATTCAAGTTTGACATTTATTTCTGTTTTGCAGGATATTGATGAGGAAATCGAAGCAGAATACAACATCCTCAAAGCCCTCTCAGACCACTCCAACGTTGTCAAATTTTTTGGCATGTACTACAAGAAGGATGTGAAATGCGGGGACCAGCTATGGCTCGTGTTGGAGGTACTTTCTTATTTGTCAGATGAATGACACTAAGAGTTCACCTCTGCCACGGCCCTTTGCATTTGCCTGAATTAGCATTAGCCTAATGATCCGGTCCTGGCGTGCAGACATCAAGCAAGTCTGGCTGGGTACTGTGTAGGCAAAGGTGGCCAGGGATTATGTAACAGGTTAATCTAGCATGGGTACTCGAGGAGTTTTACCTCTGGATCACCTGGGGGATTTTGTGCACGGCGGTTTGCACCGTGGTGGTGGCGTTAGTGATGGTGCTGGAGGGGGGTTAGCGAGTTCTGGTGCTGACTGAAGCAGAGTGGGGATTTGAACATGCACGGAGCCGTCAGACTGAATTAGTTTACACACCTGGCAGATTGGAGCGCACAGTGAAATGTCCCTCTCCACTGGTGCTCTGCTGCAGTAAATAGAACTGGGTAATCGTGCTGAAGTTGCAGGAAGGAGATGTGTATTTAAATCAGCTGTTACTTCTTGATGTGAAAAGACCAGTGCTGTGCTGCAGGATCTCTATAGGATTAGATCAATAATCATTTATAGAATAGAGACCGCTGTGGTGGAAAGTAACAAAGTACAAAAGTAAACATACAATCATAGTACAGAACATTCAATCATAGTGATTTTTACTTCACAACATTTGAGAGCAGGTATCTGTACTTTTACTCCACTGCATTTTTGAATTGGACTGAAAAGTAGAAGTATTTTTTCTTATTCTGCCATTTATATTTTTTCTTATATACTTAGGTACTTCAGCACTTTTACTTAAGTAGAATTAATGATACCTTTATTAGGGTATTTATTTGTACTTTTACACTGTGTACTTCTTTCACCACTGCCTTTAATCCTTCAGTGTTACACATACCAGGAACTGTATATGTAGTGTGAAAACCCCTAATGTTTCAGAACAAAGGCAGTGTTGTATATGTACTAAATAGGTTCCTGGTCTGACTGAAAAATACCTGCCCAGAGCAGGAGCAGATAAAGTCCTCAGACTGTGTCCCTATAGCCTCTTGTGTTAAAGCATACTTTGTGTTAAAGTGTGCCAAAAGGAAGTGGGGACAAAAAAGTACCAGGAACTGCCAAAGGTTCCTAGAGTGTGAAAACTTTTTTTCTGCATAAGAACAAATATGCTATGTTACAGAATATAATAAGACAAACTAGGCTGTTGGTAATCATTTGTTTATTTGCCTTTTTTATGATAAGAATTAACTCATTGTCATGGATTTTAAAAACAATGTAAAAAGTACTTTGGACTCACAGCAGTGTGTTCATTTTCCAGACCATTTGCCTGTAGCCTCCTCCTCAGCGATACATATTTGTCTCTCTGATACAACAGCTTTCAAATGTCAAACTGCAGACATACATGTAATGGAGGTCAGCCTCAGAGGTGAATCATGTTAGAGGCTGCATGTGGACTTCCTTGTCCTTTGTCATGTTGGGAGCATGTGGTTGTAGTTGTGGCTTTGGTCAGAACTAGACAGGACCTGGAGACAGATCTGGTTAACATGGGCAGCAGTCCTGAAAGACTTTGATAAGACCAGACCCCGAGCAAGTATCAAGAAAGTGATTTAAAGCAGGTCTAGAGAATTGTTGTAAAACCCAGTATCACATTTTTTTTGTTTTAGACATAAAATATAATTGGAAAGCATTGGTTTGAATTATTCATAAGCAAAATATATGGACTTAATTTTCTTCCATATTTATGTTTTTGGAAGATAACTGTAATAAATTCAAAGAATTTAAGGGGACGCATCCAGGGATTGTAAATATTCTTACCCGTAATGATGACAGATATTGAATAAATAATTCTACTGATCAAAATGAAATCTATGTTATGGGCCCACATTATGCTGTTTTCTGAATTTGATCTATGTTACAATGTTCATTAAAAACATACCAGGAGTTTTGTTTTGCTTTATTCATGTAATATACAAACCGTGCATATTTAGGCTGAGTTATTCTCTCCAATGGAAAACACTTATGATGTTATATGGTAATACAGGAAATGCTCCACTGTGTTTTTGAAGTCTGTACAATTCCACTACTTCGTTTGGATAATTTCAGCCATGGAATTGTCATACACTGTGGAAAAAGAGCATTTTGAGCTTTGGAGGTGTAGACAGACTATAAAAAGAATATTCAAATATGTGTGAATTAAACAAAACACAACTTTCAGTATGTTTTTGATGAGGTAGCAAAGCAATTTTGTGTAATACCAGACCTTTAAATAATGCATGCATTTCTTAAGGAATTGTAATAACTTTTGGACAGCAACATGCATTGCTCATACAGTAATTATGCATGAAATCACTGCTTATCTGTGTCCCATTACTGTATCAACATGACTGTATCAGCTCGCCCAGTGTCCATATTTTTGTAATATAAGCTTAGTTTAGTCTCGGCGCTGATATGCTAACCCTGCAGATAGTTTTCACCTGTGCGGTTGTGTTTCTTTCCTTTTCATCACTGTCCTTTCCCCTGACCTCTGGAAGGGACCCTTCAGTTACTTGGGGCTGATATCAAGACACTGTTGGACAGGACCTCACAGCAGAGTACAGTCTGTACCTGCACCTGTCTGGGAGTTTGCTGTTGTTTTAGGTTATCAGGTCTGGTCAGGATAGAGGCTCTCCTTGTTCTTTTTTCCATAATTTACATTTTACAGCTCATTTTCAACTCCAAAAGCAAACACAAACACTTATAACCTCAATTGCTGGGTTTTCCAATAACATCACAACATTATATCTGTATTACTTGAGTAACAGAGCTTCAGACAGATCAATACCTTCACTTAGCATCACACCCCCAGGAAATATTGATGACATTAGCTGCAAAGCATCAATAGCATATCCAAGAGGTAAGTTAGTACGGTACTAGAAGTGATCAGCTTCAGTTAAAAAAAAAAGACACAATCTCATTCAGTATCAGAGGAGAGGCTAAAATAGCATTTATTTCCCTAAAAAACTTTCAGTGTATAACAGAACTGATCCAAATGGGTTGTGTATTTTTATTAATTAATCATCTTTGCATATATAAAAGTTCAAACATTCTGAGGTGTTCAATGTATAGGTCCAGTCAGTAACCTTGAATTGATGTTTAATTCAAGACATTTTTACAGCCAATAGAATACCAGTATCAGTATCGGCGTATCTTAGATGGTGTTCCCCAATTCAACGATAAATGCTTTGTCTATTGAGCCACAAAGTCCTTATGTGACACAGTGTAAAGTAGTTTTTCCTTGCAAAATCTCCATTACCAAATGTCTAAAGTAGCTGCACATGTTTCTATTGACAAGGACAGGAGCTGTTTGTTCACCATGGTTACTGTCCCTCCTCTCTAAGCTGTCATTTCCCTTCCCTCCTCAGCTGAGAGGGCTCTTTCTTTGCCCTTCCCCGTGCGCCGCAGACCACTCGTAATGAACCAGATTCATCCAAATTGCATCCTGTACTTTGTTAGCCTCTCGGAGAAGTGCCTGGGCTCCTCTTTATGATGGCAGATGTGGGCAGAGATGAGCATGCTTTCATGTATGACGTCCCTAATTTTACTGCCAGTACACAGCTTTCAGAATACTTCAAAGATGGGAGTGACTTTTATTCTCTAATTCCAAATAAAAGCCTGGGATGTTCGTTTCATTTGTGGTACTGGTGATGGGAAGGGCAGTGATTTGTCCGGCCTTTATAGCTTGTACTTAAGAGATACACTCCTGCTGCCATTTAGTCAGTGTGGGCTGCAGTTAAATTGATATGGCTTTTTCAGCTCTAATTCAGATACAGCAGCCTTAAAAATAATCCAGGGACAATTTCACTACTATTATTGTTATGACTGTAGCTTTTATAATACAATCCCAAAATCAACGTGAATGTGTTTTGTTTTGCCAATTTGGCAAAACCTAAATTAATCAGTGGTTTGGGAAACAACGTGAAATGGTTACTGCCGTGCCACAACCCAGTATTTTTACAGTATAGCCTTAGTAGAGCACAAGGTCTGATTATCTTAAATTGGCTCTTTCAACTGTGTTATGTATAGTGTTTTCTCCACATCAAAACATACCTGGAGTTGTGTTTTGTTTCACTGTGCATGTTTGACTAATCCTGCATATTATGTTGCTCTCCCTTGTGAGAGCTTAAAATACTAGTCCCACACCTCTTAAATCCAGAAGTGCTCCTCTATGTTGTTAAAGTGAATTTTCCTTTTTAAGTTTTTGTCTTATGCTGCTGTTTTAAAAATCAGGACTATGGATTATTTCATACAGCTCCAACAGTGTGAAATACAGTATGACCTTTTCATTTTAATATTGCCATGTATTCTCATGTATTTTTTTTACAACTTCTGAAAGTCACCACGAATATGACCTTTTACTATGTACAGGATAAAATTGTCCTAGGAATTTGCACATATGATAAAAATAACCTTTGAGTGGTATCTTAACTATGAGTTTACATTTAACTCGGACAAAAAGTGTTAAAGGTTATATGCAAAATTGACTCTTGTGAGCTTAAAGCCATGTTAGAATGTTGTTACGTAAGTTGCGTTATGTTTCATTCACTCCTTTATTTTTAGTCTGTCTTCATCTCCAAATCTCAAAATGCTCTGTTCCACCTTGTGACGTCATGAAGCTGTAGTTTTAAAGTTAACACCTACCTTTTACCTTTTGTTCAGTAATTCAAGGGCTGACATTTTCCAAATTATTCTTGTGAATGTGTATGGAGTTTAAAAACATAGTGGAGCACTTCCTGTATTATCACATGATATCACAAGGTGAAATAGAGTGTTTTCTTTTTGAGAGAAGAGCTCAGCCTAAATATGCAGGGTTTGTGTGTTAAACATGTAAATAAAACAAAACACAACACAACTCCGGGTATGTTTTTTTAATTGTTAATGTATAAATAATATGTGTCCTTTAAATCCTGGTGAGTTAGGTTTTGAAAAATCTTAATGAAAAAAGAAAAAAAAAGAGTTCTAGGATGAAAGTAAAACATTGTGAACTGAACTGCACAACACAGTATATTTATGATAAATTCTCTCTTTTATACATGTACTACTATGGACTTTTCATCAAACTAGGGCAGTAAGTGGACACCCGGGCTTCTGTGTCCCAGGTAAACGATCAGGCCACAAATGAAAGGCTCTCTTGAACTGTTTCCAGCCCATCTCACCTGTGACCAGACTCCATTCAACCCGGACAGTGACAGTGGACTGCAGTACAATATGGATTTACATTGAGGGCACATGAGAGCTAGCTAACGCACTGTAGATTCTCATTGTGGAAGAAAATCTGTTTCATCCATTGATTTGTTTGATCCACTTCTTGTCCTGTTCTTTGATGGACTGCGTTCATTAACACTACTGAACAGGCACCTGAGCTCATTTGTGATGCCAAATATTCAATAGATTCAGTCCATTCTCTGAAAACTGACTTGGAAGCGGATGTACTTCCTTTTCGTGGATCAAAATGCTAATTTTGACTGCCTTATGACTCATGCTGATTGTGAATTTTGTAGTTTTATCCTGATTATATTTAGTCAAAAATGGACTAATGAGGCAGCATGAACTTGTAAGCATTTCTCACAAAACCAAAAGTTTGCAGATCAATTTCAGCTCAACCCGTACAGTCTGTTAATGTTCATGTCCTTAAGCAAGTCACTTCGCCCATATTGCTTGTTGGTGTGTGTGCATGTGTGTGTGTGTGTGTGGGTGGGTGTGTGTGTGCATGTGTGTGTGTGTGTATGTGTGGGGGTGTGTGTGCACGTGTGCGTGGGGGTGTGTGTGCGTGCGTGGGGGTGTGTGCAAATGTGTGTGTGTGTGACTGATTGGTTGTGATCAGAGAGGCAGATGGTGCAGACTGGTAACCACACTTTCTACCCCAGTGCATATGTGGCAACAAAAACAGCTTATAGTGTAACAGAATAAAAGACTTAATTTGTGAAATTTTAAAGTGTCTTGTTTTGACAGGTGCCATAAAGACTGACACAACAAATAAATAAAGAGTAGAAACTGATCTATCATTGCTCTATCATTCATGTTCATGATAATTGCAGGCTATATGCTTATAGGCAATCGTCAACTATAAGGTAGTTACTGATGATTCAAATGTCCAAATTAGTGCTTTATTATATCAGCCAGTGATAATATTTGTAGGATTTTAATGCTTAAATTGCTAATCACTGATTAGCATTTGATATTATTAGCATTTGTGATTAGCATACAGGTCAAATATAATGGACTGTTCTTTGCTTGTATGGTAATTAGTGTGGAATTAAATATTAATTGCATGTTTGATTTTTTTTTTTGTTCTTTTAGTTCTTATATTGACACAGTCTGGTATTGACTGACCTTAGTGAGATATTGTTTAGGGTTAGGGTTATATGATTCCATAGCAAAGATCTAAGTGACTTCTAAAACTGTAGCCTAAATGAAGGGATTCAGAGTTTAGTTCTGTAGATATTGTGACTAAAAGCTATCTGAAGTTACAGTGATCATGTCCACTTTGCCCATGACTAACCATAGTGTCTAATATAATTACAGATGATAATCCATGTACCGGAGGTGGAGAGCTAACTTTGTGCTGTACAAATATGGGAAACCAGCACACCTCTCATGAATATGGATCTGAGCCTGGTCCGCTGTCTGTAATTTAATGATGACAGGTGATATGGGCGCCGTGATATGGAGTGACGTCGGGCACGGCTCATTGTGCCCGAGTCTTCGTGGTGTTCTCCGCTCTAGTGCAGTTCGTCTGATGGCACGGGGGTGATTTAAGCCCCGCGTGGCAGCTACGATACACACCATCCATCCACGCTGCAGCCCCCGGGCCCCTGATGGATGGCCAGATTGATAGGCACACACAACACTCCAAAAGCTTATGCCACCACTTAGTCAAGGTCAAAAACTTTCATATTATACAGACTGTGAATGGAAATCCAGTCTGTCAAGTCAAACTGTAATGACCCAGGCTGTAGCAGGGCCTGTAGTAGTGTCTTTATTATTACAATCTAAATGTGTTGTTTCCCTCTTTATTAGACACAATGAAACACACTCGCTAATGACATCCTGTGGATCACTCAGTTTGCTCCACACACACCTGGCAATCAGCAGTGGAATTAGGATCCATAACAAAATGAGACTGTTTGCAGATCTGTTTTACAATTCTAAAGCCTTATGTTTGTAATAGGTTTATGCTTCATGTCATTAGTGTTGCTGATTGTATTTCTTATAGGATCAGTCCCCTGTTTGACTTTTCTTTTAGAATCAGATGCATAGAGAGGCATATAGAGATGCATAAAGGAAAGTTTGCTTGAAATTGAGTTTTCAGATGAGTCAGACAGAGCGCATATTGTCTATTATTAGTAATAAAATATGATGCTGTTATAAACCAGCAGTCGGACTGACTGAAGAGTATCACAGTGATCAATATTGTATCAAGAACATTTTCTTCTTATCTGAAGCTATAGGTTAATAATATTATCAGTAACAAATTTCATATGGACTTATGAATCACACTGTACATATTATATTCATATATTGTTGAAGTAAGAGTGAAAAGTAGAGAATGCACAATTTGCATTTACTCAAGCTCCCAGCCGAGTGATTGACATCTCAGAGCTTTTTATTTTCCCATACCTCTGGCATCTGACAAAGGAGGGCTCAAATTAAGGGCTATTATTGTTACCAAGGCAACCCACTGGGTAATTTTCTGTAATTTTCCGAAGAGGGATTGCTATTGATGGTAGAGTCCATATCGAGCTGGAGTATAGCACAAGAAAATACACAGAGATGACATGTTTGCAGCCTTGAGAATGGTCGAGGTGCTGTGTCCTGGTAAGATGGCGGAGCACACACAGATGTGCATGTCGTGTATTTGAGGAGCATTTGTTGTGTCTTAAATACGCAGGCTGCTTAGTCATCATTGTCCTGAATAGAGCCAGAATGTACATTTGTCTGTGGGCACACCTCCCACTAAGCTGCTTCCTAAAGATAAGCCTCTGCAGATTGACAGATTTTTTTAGCTGAAATCTCACATTTTTCCTCCACTGTTTCTCTGTGAAATTTCCATTATCTTTGATGCCCCACTTTAGCAGATTGTATAAGGCCCACTGTAGCTGCTGACTCATTGTTCTGTGCTTTTGTGTGTTTTCTGTTGCAGCTTTGCAATGGTGGCTCTGTGACAGATCTGGCCAAAGGCATGCTAAAGAGAGGAGACACAATGGATGAAGCAATTATTGCGTACATCTTGCACGAAGCACTCATGGTAAGTCTGTCATTTCAAATGCGCCCAATGCTCAAATGTGCACAGCTCAATACACTACCTCCTTCACAATAAGTGGCTTCAATGAAAAGAGCCTAAATGGGATAATTTGATGGCAGGTGCTTTTTGGTGAATTCACATTTGCTTTTTTCCTCCAGGGCCTGCAACACTTGCACATCAATAAAACCATCCACCGAGATATCAAAGGCAACAACATCCTGCTGACCACACAGGGAGGCATTAAACTGGTGGACTTTGGTATGTCTCCCCTTCTGACCACATCACACTGTTGTCCACAAAAACACTGGCTGGGGGATATACAAAGAGATAGGATGTCATTGTGAGCAGGTTATTCTGTAATACATTTGCATTGACATGTTCTACTTGCTTAATTTGAAATTGTGTTTCTTTTAGACCTGAAAAGACATCATGTTTCACCAAACAGGAAAGCAGAGAAACATTGATTTGACTCTTGAATGACTGTAATAATATCCCATTATCAGATTGTGCCTTCATTTACATGATCTCTTTTAGAGTCATAGAACTGTGATTAACCAAACTACAGCACATGATTTTTTTTACACATTCTAATCCAAATCTGCAGTTTATAAAGCATCTTATTTATATAGCATTTCATGTAATCTTGGACATATTCTTGTTAAAAAGCATATCCTCCTTTATGCGTCTGTTTAACAGTGCCTGTGTCTTGGGTCAAATTCATTATCTTCAACTGCCTCTAAATAAATTGTGCCAATAATTAGTTTTGCTGAAGACTGTGAAGCAGAGTTAGACTGGCTGACAGGTTGGCAGCACATACCAGCCATCCTCCATTTCAGGATATCTCTTACTCCCTCCAGACAGTAGCGGACATTGTTGCCATTCACTCTGTGCCAGCTCTGATTTGCTCGTAGGTTTTCTTAACCAAATGAGGCTGGAGCTTGAATGCTCTAAATACGCAAAGTGCTTGTGACTACTTCCCAGAGATGACGCATTGGTTTTCTTCAGGGCCCCATAACCAGCTGCCTATTTCATTAGAACTACAAAAGCACACTTAATACAGTATATGTGCAGGGCTAATTGTGCTGTTCTTAAAAGCCCTTTCGATGCATGTAAACAAGAGAAGACTGCTGGATTAATGCAGTCACTTAGGGCTGTTTGGAGGGATATAGTGCTGCCCTCTTCGGCTGCTTTTACCACCACTCTAAAGCACAATCTGAACAGAAATTGTCCTGGTTAATTGGAAAATATGGTGTTTCCTGTGGTTGTGTTGGACATTATGAATGAGCACTTCACACGTGCCAGTGCAGGTAATGTTCCTGTGGAAGTCAATATGAAAAGTGAATGGGTGTCCTTAAGTGCTCGCCTTGCACTTAATTGGGGATTGACACACTTAAAATTAAGGTTTATTAATTAGACATTATTGCCTTTCTAAGTATTTTTTTTCTCTGCAAGTGACTCATTCTTCCACCAGGTTCTCAGAGCAGCCCAGGAACCCCCTTCCAGATCTTGAGTTTGGTTTGGTCAGGAATATCAAGATTTTACTAAATTAGGCTGATGGAAAAAACAGATTGATTGATGAGAAAAAGCAGAATGCTCAACGGGAATTCAATTAGACTTTGCATGTTTGTCCCTGTGCCTGGATGGGTTTCCCCCAGGCACTCCGATTTCTCCCATCAATCCAAAATATGCATCTTAGCTAAAATCATCAATAAAGTGTACCTCATGCTAAACCTAAACCACAGATACTGGCGGAAAATGCAAACCATACCCTCTGTGCTTATCTATTATTTATCTAGATATACCTGCATCTTACATAGCAGGCCGATGCATTGCCCAATCCACTACAGGATTTGACCACTAATAAAGATCAGGAATTCCTTTTGCTTGTGCATATATCGATGATGACATTTAAGTCACTGTACTCAAGTAAAAACATAGTATTTCAGACTAAAAATAACTTTACAGAAGTTACTTACGTCAAACAGTCAAGATTTTAGTCTGAACATCATGATGGGATTCATGTGTTTTCATGAGCAGGCTAACGCTGCACTCAGCAGGAGAGCAGATAAAGCCCCCACACTGACTCATGCCAGCAGAGACAGAGAGAAAGATGGAGGGAGAGGGGGGAGAGAGAAAGTGAGAAAGACAGAGAGAGGGGAAGGAGAAAAATACGAGAGAGGGGGAGACGAGAGAGGGGGGAAAGAGAGAGTCAAAACAGAGAGAGGGGAAGGAGAGAGTGAAAGACAGAGCCCCCCGACCCAAAACAGAAAGAGAGAGAGAGGAGCTGTGGGTTCATGAATATTCTAATTGACGGCGTTATCTGAGCGATGATTATTAAGTGTGCCCCACCAAGCTGCACTCCAGGCTAATGTAGTGGAAAGAGGCTGTGCCAGGGCCGCTCTACTCCTCTTTGTGACGCTCTATTCTGTTACATATGAATGCATCAAATCAGAAGATACGTAATATTACCAGGAATCAGGAAGTGCCTCCCCAACTGGAGGTTTGTTTTACTGTAGGATTTTAGCAATATTGGTAAAATGTAAAATGTATGTTGTGTTTTGTTTTCAAATCAGGCTGAAAAGGAACAGACATGGCAATGTATTCTATTCCCCAATACACCATACGAGTTATAGGTGAAAGGAGGTGTTTGAATTCACTTTGGTATATGGTAGTCTGAAACAACATTAACAAAAAAATCTAGGGTTGTCAAAAGTTTTGAAAATCTGATACTATTCCACTTTAAAAGTATTAAAAAAGTATTTCATTTGAGCAGGTATCTATACTAAAACATTATTGAGTATCAAACCTATTCCTTAGTATTGAAATGGAATTTAAAATGTTTGTATTGTATTGTATTGACAGCAGTAGTTTTAGCTTATTAGCCATCTCTGCCCACTGCCACTCTAACACTGTTTCACACACCTTCACATATTATTTTGTTATTTTTATAAGCTATGTAGTTACACACATACAGCTGGTTGTGTCTGGATTGGGCCCTATGGTTATGAGTTGCCTTTTCCTGCCAGTCTTGTGCTGCTTGTGCTATACATGTCAGCGCGGTTCATTTTTTCATACACTTATGCACATGATTTAAATCCCATTTGATGTTTGACACAGACTAGTTTTTCTCCTCAGCTCTCATTCTGGCTCCCCTCCCCATTTCAGGCTTTAGCCATCATTCAAATCACTCTGGCATTGCGTACATACTCATACCCATACAAATATTACTAAGTGGTAGAAGGGTATGCTATGTAACCTTGTTTGAGGGTCGACCACCTGCTTGTCTCCAGGGAGATGCTAAAGCTGGAATGTTCATCAGTATCTTGTATTTATTCAATAACAGGTGTTTTATTGCTCAAAAATAGCAAACAAACATGCATTCCTACTGTGAGTGGTGTCTCCTCTTCACATATCTGACCTGTAACTTGGCTTGCCAGAGTTTCCTGCCTTCTTACATGAATGTATATGTTAAATGCTGTACTGTGGAACATTACAGACAAAAAAATTACATCTCCATGGTGGCAAGCATGTAGCAGACAGTTCACCTGCCAAGTTACATGATCCATTCATCCTTTCATCCGTGTTTCAGGTGCTTTTGCAAAATACTTTCATCGTTTTTTCTTTGCCTGTATTTAAATTTTTGACTTCATCCTTGCGTTTTCGTCTGCTGGCATGCTATGTTATCTTAGATCCATGTGGTGGCTCCAGAATTAGCATAGCAGTGCTCTTTACGTCACACCATATCGTCTGTAACACTGATTTGGTTGGACTGCGCTGAAGTCACGACAGCAGTGGGTCAGCATGTTCCTTGTCAACCACACAATCAAATCCTCCATATTCCTCTACACAGATGTATTATCGCTCTGACTTTGTACATTATACTGAAAACACTACTCAGAATGAAGATCTGCTGACTGGAGCTGTCACTACACTGTTTCACGCAATATGTATTCAAATGTCCCACAATGCAATTCATAGCAATCTATCATGTGCAGGAAGACATCATCACATAGCTGGATACAGTTTTGCATGTGAGCCTGGCTGTCAGCTCTATCAAAGATCCTTTCAGCACAACTTGAGCTAGACTTTCCCTTTGCATCAATATCTCTGTTATAGAATATGGAGACACTCTTAGACAGGTTTGTTATATTTGGGCTTGTTTTTGGGCTGCGAAATTAATCAAAGTTAACAAATCATAAAGTCTGCAATTTTGATATACCATACTGTTCTCCTCAAAACTAAAAGCATTCAGTGTTATTCTGCAAAAAAACAAAAAAAAACATGCCAGTCCCATAGTATTGACCCGTACAAATCACCTGTACAGATCATCACAATTAGATACCTTTCCCAAATGGTTCAGCCCTAACCTGTTTAATGGTTAAAAGGTTTAAAGGTTTCAAGGGAATATGTGGTGTTTGCAGGGGTCTCAGCACAGCTGACCAACACTCGTCTGAGGAGGAACACCTCTGTGGGGACTCCCTTCTGGATGGCACCAGAGGTAAGAACTACAGTATTATAAAAAAATATCTGTGTTGTAAGTCCTTAAAGGTCATATTACACAAAATTGTCTCTTGTGATCTTTAAGCCATGCCATAAGGCTATTACTCCATTAAAAGCATACAGAGAGTTGGTTTTGTTTCATTCACATATGTTTGAGTAACCCTTTATTATTAGTCAGTCAACATCTCCAAAGCTCAAAATGCTCTGTTCCACCTTGTGATTTGCCTTATCAGACAGAACCTCCTACATCCTGCCATCTTGTTCGAATATGGCTTTGTAAATTATTGTAAAAGCATGTCTGGTCTTGGCTGGTCAGGCAACCTTGTGATGTCATGAAGCGATAGTTTTCAAGTTAACAGCTAGCATTTTGGCAATTCCAGGAAATTATAGAAATGATTCTAGTGAAGGTGTATGGAATGTAAAAACACAGTGGAGCACAAATATTAAAAAATATGTGCCCTTTAATGGTCAAAAGGTGGGTGATAGTTCATTATTTGAGGTACCACATTGGGTTTTTCCATAAAAGGTATAGGTATACACACATTACTAGTGCTAGGCTACTACAGTGACACAAAACCTGTGCAATTACTCCCAAACTGCAATTAGTGAATGACAACAGATTTCTGGATCTCTACACAAAGCATTTGCTTCAGTTGACTTGGTTAACCATAGTATTTTGGTAATGTTAAAATGACCGTATCAGTGGTTCCAATGGCTTTCTCTTGTATTAACTCAAAAGTCTGTTTTGAATATTGCCATTGTAAATACAGATTCAGGCCTTCTTTCCTTTATTACAGATGACAGTTTTTTAATGATTTTTGATCCCCAGATGAAAGATTTTCTACAAACTTGGTCATTGTCATGCTTAGGCGTGCTCTTGGCTTCTCAGTGGCTTCTTTTCTTTACATGAGCTTTGCATGCTGTGCAAATGACGCGGATGCTGTGTCTTGCCTGTTGGTTTAGGTCTTGAGTATTTTAATCTGATTTGAGTAAGACACCATCAACAACTTAGGTTTAGAGAAACAGGTTTTTCTAGATGGACTGACCAGAACTATAACATCTCATTGCATTTTATAGTTATATATCTTGAAAGACTGTAATTTTTTTGTCATTGTGGATCTTTGACAAACTTTGGCTGTGGTAAGTTCCTCATTTGTGTATTGTATCCATTTGATTGCTTTCGTCATATTAAAAACTGCTTTTATTGTCCCAAAGGGGAGCCAGCGTTTTTCCAGCCGCATATGTCATTTTCTTGTCACGTCTCCATACCAGAGTACATGCCATATGTCGAGTGGGAATACAAATTGAACGGAGTGTTTGGATGTTTGATGAAAATGCGTTGTGTCGGAGTTGTGGGCACACATTCCTCCCACTCACAGATGATTCTGAGTGGAGATTGGGTCCATGTTGCCCTCAGGATAGCGCTGATAGACTGAGCGTTAATGTGTGTACAGGGCCACATGAGACAGGGGCTGGGGGCTTTGTCACAGTCTGTACACTGTAGAATCCACTATTACATTTGTGACATTTAGGTGCAGTACAGTCAAGAGTAAAGTCTAGTAATGTACTATTCTAATGTTGAAATAAGAACAATTAAAAATGGAAGATTTGATCATTTTGGGAAGATATTTTGAAGTTGAATTGAAAATTTCTGCACAATTGTTATTTACTAAGATGATGGGGCTGTAGATCAGTAGGTCTTAGCCAAACAATTTTTTTGAATTGACGTTACTCTACCCTCATAAGGAAAGTGTAGGTTTATACTGTCTCTTTACATGTTACTAGTACTTACTATATCTAATTTACTACAGTGTATCTAGTGATCATAGAGATTCTTAATATTTTCCACACCACTCCTCCTTTTTAGAAGGACTAATGTTTTTTGGTGATGAAGAATTTCTCAGCCACAGTCCTATTATCTTCTAAAACTAACATGGACTTAAAGGTATAGCTTTTTAACTTAAACTCAAATAGTTTATTTTACTATTTTTTGAAATAATAATAATCAAATTCTATTATTAATACAAGATCTACTACGATTGCTACATGTACAACTACTGGTACTACTGTAATTACAACCACCAATACTACATATATCACCTACTTCTACTACTACTATTCTTACTACTGCACTTCCCTTTCCACTAGTACGACAACCACTTTAACATGTAGTACTAATATTACTACTCATCAATAACTACAGTATCTACTTTGACAGGGATTGAAAGAATTGCCCTTTGCATATACATCAGTGTAAATAGTGTTTTCCTGTTGTTTTCACTTTCAGGTAATAGCGTGTGAGCAGCAGTTGGACTCGACCTACGATGCCAGGTGTGATGTGTGGTCTTTGGGCATCACAGCCATAGAGCTGGGAGATGGAGACCCACCTCTGTCTGACCTGCACCCTATGAGAGCCCTGTTTAAAATACCCAGGTGAGCTTTCAAACATATGCCATTGTTTTACACCTAGTTAGAGGCATTCCAGGCTGTTCCTAACTACATATCTGACTGCAGACGTTCTGTTCTTAGTTGACTTAATTTTCTGTCATTCCTTCTAAGGGGAAATATTTCATTCCAGTTAGCGATATGATAAAACAGCTCAGTTTTCTCAGAAGTTGTATTATGGTTGATTATAATTTTTCTGCAGACATTATTACATTGTGAATAAGTGTGGTTCTGTTTAATATAGATCTATTCGAAACACTGTCACATGCTGTCTACATTGCCCACCCTGCACTCCTCTCTCGTGCCTCTCTTTGAGTGACAGACAAATATAACCAATCACAGCAAAGTGTTAACTCTACAAATAAACATTCCTTTAGTTTCCACTTAAAGAATGTGTGAAGTTAGTGTCCACATGTATCCTTAATAATTACATTTCTGTCTCAGTAGATATACTCCATTCCAAACTATAGTTTAGTTTATTTGTTTATTTTTCAGTGCACATAAAAACCTTTACTTACACAAATAGCTAAGATGTTTATGCTAGGTTATAGCAAATTGCTCATTTCCACCGATAGTCTATGGACAGGTTGATGTCATCAATGGCGTACATGCCACTAAAATACAATGGATATAATGCAAGATTCATCCTGTCAATCAATAAGTAAATCTAGTTTTATTCAATATCGGTTACCAATCTATATATTATTTACTTGTATAGAATTTATGTTGTTGCATTTATACAAGACTTTCTATTTGATCAGGCATAATTTGGGATTTAAAGTTTGAAACAGGGCCTCACAATTCATCTCAACTGAATTACAATTTCCATTTGAGTTGGAACCATTATCAAAGGTGCATTAATTTATATAACTGAATGTCCTCTGTAAAGAGCGAAATAAAATTATATAAAAGCCTAGGTTTACCTGTAGTTTAGACCTCTACATACATGTTCTGAAAAGCATCGAATTCTTATATCATTGCATATTTCAGTCTTCTCTCAAATGTTAATGCTCCTGGAGTTGTTTACAGTGTACACTCTGAAAGAATCATACAATACCTTGCATCGCAATACTTGTATTATTTTTATGAATAGTGCATCTTGAAAAAGGCTTTACTATTGTGTTAAGTTTTAAGTTTAATTTCCATATTGAATTTGTCCTTAACATGTCTCTGCACCTGTTCGTGATTCAGATGTGCTCCCTGAAGGTTTGATCTGTCCCTCTAGGCGCAAATGCAGAAACGATGTGTAACATGTCTCCTCTCCACTGACAGAACAGAGCAGCGTCCGCCTGCTGCATACTACTTGTATCTAATCCTTGAAAAGCTTGTCTTGCGTTCCCACTGGAGTCATTTACCCCTCTGTAGATTGTCACCAGACCAACCACAGTCGTTTCATTTCAGACGCTGTACTCTGCCCACAGGGCCTAATCCATAAGTCCCACCCCCTCCTGCCTCGCATTCTGCTCATCATCTGTGTGTGTTGTAGACTGAAGGTGAAAAGTAATTGTTTATTTTTAATGTTAGATTGCTTGCGTTCGGGTGGTGAGTAAAATTATTGTCTTTGTTGGATTTTCTTTGTTCGGAATTGGATGGATTCAGAAAAGGTCATTTGGTGCGAAAGAAATTAGTATTGATTCATAAAGAGCAAATTATATACCAAAAGACTGTTAGCGGCTACAGGGGCAAAAGTGCATTCTAGATATTTTACTTAAAGATGGACTATGTGACTTTGTTTCTTGCTTTTACTACTGAGATGTTATTGCATTACCTAGAATGTTCCACACAATGGCATCAGGATAAGTAACAGGTCAGATCTGTGGAGAGGAACTTCGCTCATGTATATGTTTTTCAAGGTGTTTCTAATCAATAAAAACACCTGCAATGGAATAAATGCATAGATAAGTTTAATGCTACATTGTGGCTTATACTGGTTCTGGTTCTGGTTCTGGTTGGTTAATTGGCAACCTTCAAATGTATATCATGCCTTTAAATATTTTCCTGTTCCTGTTTCCACTCAAAGCACTTTATTTTTAGTGCCAAACATTTCCTAGTTATAGATTTTCCTACACAGTTTTCCTGCACAAACACACAGGATGAAAAACTACAGTTACTTGATGTCTTAACCCAGCCAACCTCACACACACCCTTCCTTACCTCTGCACATACACAGTGGTGGTGGCTGTAGTGTGTGTGTCTGTCGCTGCCGCTGGGGTCAGAGCACAGCGGTCCCCATCAGCAGCCTCCTCACAATCTCATGTGACGTCTGTGGTCAGGCCTGCAGGCTGTCTCCTCACACTCTGCTCCTCCTATGCTCTCTGCAGGTCCCCAAAACATGCACTCGGGGCAGGCACTCAGCCACACCCTGTCTCTTCTCATTTAGGCTTTATAAAGTGCAGCAGAAAATGGATATGCTCATTAGTGCTTTGACTGAATTTGAATATGTGCAGCATTTTTACACAATTGTTTGAGATCATCTATTTTTCAAGGGGACATATAAAATCAAGCTTTGAACCATGTGTTCCCTGATTATAAGTCTTCTCTGAATTGTATTACTTGGATGTTTGAGTGATACTGTATAGTTCTCAGAAATGTACAATTTTCAACTACCTCTAACACACCTTGCAATTATTCAAAAAAATTCACACCATGTGTCATACATGTAGGGTTTGAAATGTTCACTCAGCCTTTTCAGTGATAAAAACACATGAATGAAAAACTGCTGTTTGTTTCAGTGAAATGCATTTATGAAGTTATATAGTTTTGAACAAGAAATCAATGTTTCTTTATTAAATAATTTTAGATAAATATTGAGGTTTACAATTAATACAATATAAAAGCCACTATGTTATAGTTTAATGCTAAATATCCACAAAAAACATAACATTACATAATTCATAATTCAAGTGTATTGGCCTCAAATCAAAGTCATCTTTAAACATAGGTCAAAATACATGTTCCCCAGCTGATGTCAAGAGGTGATGCTATTATACCACATATACCAACACAAATATTTTTTGTCTTATTTTAACTAGTTCCATGTTTGTTCTGCTAAAAATTACATTTTGTGTGAACAAAAATTGGGATTCAATGGCTTTAACCTGTTTTTTATATACTGTGTGCTCAAAATTCAATTATAAAACACGAAAGACCAATGCTGAGATGAAGCTTGTTTTGTTTTACTATATGTTTTGTGGCCCACAGTCTTCCTACTGGACTCTGACTATTGCAGTACTGATATCTATTCTGCATTATGGGCCTCTGATACTATCTTCATTCCATGGCAGCTCCATCATACTTAGAGAGCGGCTCCACTCCTTCACATGTGATCACCATCTTCCTTGGACCCTGTTTGTCTTGTGAATGAGACAAACCCTAATGGTCAGCGCATTAGCCCAAACAAACTCTTAATAAATGCCTGGCGCGTTGCTGTCTCTAGGCCCGTTTGCGATAAACAGAAGATGTATACGCTCTCATTACGGCTACTAGTACATTAGCCCGCAGTTACCCCAAATATCTGGCACAAAAGGTACTTAAAGTGGACCAGGGAATTACAGCAAATTAGCTTCACATCTGCAAGGCGTTGTTAAACCTTAGCTGATAAGAATGTTTGTCTAAATAGGAACCAATTTAGGCTTTCATAGTTGCTGTCATATCAACATGATCTAAATGCCCAGGTAGAGACAGACATTTTTCTTGCCGCCTCAGAAAAAATGGTGGAAGATAAATTGCTTAGTGTAAAGACTTCAGTCACTTGTTCCACTGTGAGGCTTTTGTTCAGTGGCCCTCCCCTCCCTCATATACCCCTGTAAACTCCATCTCATCTTATCTTTCCATTTATCTTTTCGATTGCTTTTTTCCCCTGATAGAAACCCGCCGCCCACTCTGCGCCAGCCTGAGCTGTGGTCAGACGACTTTAATGACTTCATCTGCAAGTGAGTGTGGTCCTGCTAGTAAGTATGTGCTAGTGTAAACAAGTATGTAGGAATTCCTAGTAGTGTGGGATATTCCTATACAGTATATTGTAGAGAATACTTTGTTAGATTACTATTTTGGTTAAAATACAATTCTTACAAAAAAAACTGATTTGATTTAATCTTTGGAGTAACTTTCTGGAGGTGGCACATAACCTGAATGATTCCATGGAAACAGAAAGTTAAAACCACAGTAGGCCTTACTGTGGAAGATAATATCTAAAGGCAAAGCATTTCCATGGATGCAAGCAGGAGGACACCCTCCTCCAGACCAAATAAGAGTTTGTGGAGATAAAAACCAGCACTTTAAAGGTCAAATGCAGAGGACAAAATGTACCTCACTTTATTTACCTTAAGGTCACATGATTTTCAGTGCAAAAACCACAACCAAAAAAACAACCTTTTATTTTAGTCTGTTTTTGGATTTAATTAATTAATTTGTTACGCCACAAGGAGGGCAGGTCTCCTTGTGCCATTTTCATGCTCCAATAATTAAAGAGTCAACGTTAGGAATGGTATATTGCATAAATCGTAGACATTTCTGTATGCAATACAATATAGAATTTTTTATATTGTATTTCTATTGTAGATGTTTACCATTGATTTTTTTTCTTCTTGGCGTACATTTAGTCTTCTTTTTATGATATTATTAAGATATATTCTTTTCATATATATTCTTGTTCATGTTTTGCTATGTTGTCCTTCATAGGTGTCTTATTAAAGACTTTGAGCTGAGACCCAATGTTGTTGACCTGCTGCAGCACCCCTTTATCAAACAGGTCCAAAACAAAGAGAAACTTCTACAGAAACAACTCATCGAACTCATAGACCTCAACCAGCAAATAGGAACTGTTGAAAAAACACGGTACTGTCATATTCCCACTGTATTCACCATGAGTCACCAAAAGAACTCTCTATCCCTGCCAGTATAATCTCATAGCACACAGCTTAAACCCCTGAGACAGCTAAATCCAAATTACCCTCCTCCAGTTCTTCACATAGGCAGAAGATCAGAAGCCCCAATGTGTGTTCAAATGTCTATCCTCTTTGTGTCACTAAAGCCATCACGGAAACACAGACAGAGGCGGTAATGACAGGTAACAAATGGCACCATGGACTAGTCCCAGTAGGATAGATAGAAAGACATACATTTTAAGATAATAGGCTTTTTAGTATGTGAGAAGGAATGGAAGGAGTTGTTATCTACACAAGAAATCATTATTGTTTACATGCATCAACCCTGCTGCTGGTTTTGGCATTCAATTTCATAAAACATCATGTACTGTTTGTTATAGTTTGATAATGTAACTACTTGCCATACGAGCTGCAGTGGTTGATTGGCTCCAAGTGTCCCAAATAATTATAAAAATAGATAAAAGTTAAACAATAAGGGGATAAAGCGATAAACTGATATATATTTATAGAATATACGTATATGCTTCAAGCCTAGACACCTCTGCATCAGAACTGAACACTTTTGAATGTCGTTCTGTGTGCAGAAGTCTCTATGTATGAAACAGAAGACTAGCATACGTGAATATTCCATTTGCAAATGTTCAAATCTTTTACTTTTCTTTTATTAAAGACAAACACTTTGGGATTTGTCTGAATAATTTGCAAATGAACTTTTCATACGTTCCTGAACAAAAAAAACAAACCTTTTTAAACAGTAGCATAATATTTTTGTTTGATAGACGAAAATCTAGTAAAAATATGAAAAGAATTGTATTTCCAAAGTCTGCAAAGGGCCTATCATCAAAATGCAACTTACAATTATCAAACTGGGTCCTGTCTAGAATTATATTTTCTATTTCTTTGTATTTTAAACACAACCAATTACTTTGTTCCAGCTAACCCCTTTAGCAGCAAATGCCAGAGCATTTGTGTAGGCTCTAGGAGAATGGTTTTGAATCTAAATGCCTTACTGTATTCCTCCATTTACATAATATAATAACTTATGGTTCACTGCTCTGAATAAGACTCATAATCTTGATTGTAGGCATGAACGCATCCACACCAAAAAGATCAACCACATGAAGAACCAGAGCGACCCAGACGAGTTGGAGGACCTCGCCACTCTCGAAATATTAGATGAGGTATGAATACAGTCGAATAAAAAACAGACATTTGTATTGTGTTTTGTGTTTTATGATTAAAGATGAACTATGTAAATTTTCCTGTTCATTTTCATGTAGATGTTATTGCTGGAATGTTTCACAGTATGGTTTTAAACCTATGGTCGCATGCTTGTCTCCATAGTAATACAGTAGATCAATTGAATGGATTTGTGTGGAACATTCCTGACAAAAGAAAACAATAAGCAGATCCAATCCAATCCAACTTTGAATAAAACATAGCATAAAAACTAAGTAAGCAAGCCAATAAAAAACATAAAAAATACAAAAATTTGCAATAGACAAATAGAAAATATAATATAAAATAAATGTCAGTCAGTCATGCCAGGTTAAAAGCTCGTTTTTTAACACGACTTAAAAGCATCAGCTGAAGGGGCAGTCTTAAAAGTTACATCCTATTTTTAGAAATCATTCAATACATCACATGCTTATCTAGGTCCATAGCTAACTTACTTTTAACACTCAACCATGTCGTCCACGATTACTAAGTGCAAAATCCATCAAACACGTGAGCTAAAATAGATTGACTGATAGAAAAACTCGCCAGTGGATATTTACGGCCATTCCTCAAGACAATGATCTGAGCTGTTGTTGATCCACCTGCCTTAACTCAGGGACCAAATCAATCACATGAAGATAACACTGATGCCATGTCTTCAGGCAGGACATAGAATAAATAATGTACATAATGATTTTAATGAGGCAGCCCCCACCTCCCCTTCTCTTCTGTTTGCAATCTTATATCATGTTATAACTATGTGTCTTTCAGAACACTGTCACAGACCACCTCCAAAACCGCTATGAGAGGGACGAGATCTACACCTATGTGGGGGACATTCTCATCGCAGTCAATCCATTTCACCCAATGGACATTTACACTCCCGAGGTCTGTGGACGAAGCTGTAATACGTCTCAATGATAGTTTATGGATTTCGGTTTGACACAGGATCATATATTTGGTCTACACTCTATGTCACTGTAAGGCAGCGGGTTAACGGGGGTAATGGTCAGGGGTCTAGCACTAAATTCTGGGCCTACAAATCATCTTGGTATGCCCTCGCTATATGTTTTCTAATGAGAATTGCACATACAGACTTTGTGAGGGGGCCCTTCCCTCACTGGGGCCTGGGTAAACACCACTCTTTCCCCTCCCCCAGTCTGACACCCCTGGTAATGGCTGTTCTTTCTCTTCAGCATTCTAAGATGTACATAGGAGCAAAGCGCAAAGCCAACCCACCGCATATATTTGCTGTGGCAGACATCGCCTATCACTCCATGGTGACGTTGAATACAGATCAGGTACAGTGTTTCAAACTAGGACACTGGTTTTCAAACTGTGGTCATGGGCTCTTCCATGGTTCACTTTTAAAATATTTGCTTAATTTATGGTAAATTTTATTCCTCTTTTGGGTTAGCCCTTAGAACTAGTTAGGGTTGAACCATTTGGGAAAAATCATCATGATTCATATGTTAAAGCGTCCAGAAGTAATGGTGAAAAGACTGAAATATGAACTGACAAACTAATACAAGAATCACATTTCAGAACATGTTTGTACAGATCAAACTTCAGAATTTGTAGTTTTTATGCAGAATAAGACAGATATTTGGTTGTTCGTAGAGGAAATTATGATTATTACATTACATTAGAAATGACATTAAAATACAGACAGAACTAGAACTAATTGCAGTTGTAGAGTCCTATTTTAGCCCCAGTTTAAACCTGAAATTGTACAGATTCTGACCTGCAATCTTAAATCTGATGGTACTTGAAAAATCAAATATTTTGCAGTAACTGTGGTGGTGTGAAAGACGTATGTATAAACGAATAATTCAGGAACACCCTACAAGATCCACAGAAACACAACTTATTTTCCAATCCAAAGTGGTTTAAACCAGTAGTCTGACCATCCTGCATGTCTGTAAAATCCTACTCACTACAAAAAGATAGAAATTAAACTTTTGTAATTTCATGAATCAGTAATTATCAAAAGTTGCTAATATAATGTCCCTTTTCTCTAGTGTGTCGTAATAAGTGGAGAGAGCGGAGCAGGGAAAACAGAAAGTGCCCATCTCCTTGTGCAGCAGCTCACGTTTCTTGGAAAGGTGAGTTCATCAACAAACTAGTTTACATACCCCGGAATATGAAGGCGTTTGCCATTAGTGGAAAAACACAATTACACTCACAGTCTCAGTTCTGATTGCACATTCAGAGAGCTTGATGCGTCAGCTAAACCATTATGTACTGCAAGGACAAGCCAGTTTGTACCTCCAGCTTCTGTCAGTCACAATTTCTAACTTAATGAATAAATCAATTTCACAGAATATCTTACATTGACCGTATAACAGCATGCGGAATAGGTTGTGTTCACGTTTTTGAATTTGATGTTGATATAATTTCAGATGGAGGGCAGGAGATTCACTGTTTTTGAAAGTAATAGCAAAACTTAAGATTCACACATGTTGAACCTTATCATTATTAGAGACTGGCTCCACAAACTTGCCATGTTAATCTTATGGTTTCAAGTCCTTTCAACTGACAACAATCACGTCTTTGCGGTTGAATAATGGCCCCACTTTCTGAAGGTATTGTGAAAGATTATTTTCACTCCATTTGTTCATTTGTTCTGACAGAGAAGATGTTGAACTTTGTGCCAGTTTTTGTTTCATGTGGATGGGCCGTGTTACAGTAGCATACATAAAGCAAGTCAACAAATCTGCAAACTGACAGTTACTCAGCAAATTCCACCATAGAGTTCTGATGTGTTCTCCAGCTGAGTGTTAAACTATAGAGATTCTATAATGTTATGATGTCATTTGAACACATTTTTTTCTGTTATTTTAGGCAGATAACAGGACGCTGCAAGAGAAGATTCTACTAGTCAACAATCTGGTAGAAGCATTCGGGAATGCATGCACCATCATCAATGACAACTCCAGCCGCTTTGGCAAATACTTAGAGATGAAGTTCACCACTGCAGGGACCGTGGTGGGGGCTCAGATGTCTGAATACCTGCTGGAGAAGTCCCGAGTCATCCACCAAGCCACGTAATTACACTATCAACTTGTGTTTTTGTGCTTTTGTCCAGACCTCCTCGCCTTGTTACAACCCCGACCTTCATTTGACAGTGACATTCTGATATTTTAATCAAGTCTGTGGTCTTTTTGGGAGAGAACATTGCAAAGCGGGTTATTTCTCATCCCTCCTGCTAGGGATCAGTGCGTAATAGCCTGCCTTTCTTCTCCTAACCTCTGCCTTTCCATCTGAAAAGCACTGGCATTTGCCTCCAGCCTGCACCAGTCAATCTATCTTTTCTTCTTATCGCGTGTCTGGGGACTGAACCAGGTCAAGTGCAGGGACTAGCTTATTTCCTGTTTGATCAAAGATTGTGGCTTTCACAAGTGTCCTTAGCAGAACATCAAAGGTGGAGTTTGGGTTTTTCATTAAAACAGACACTGGGTCAGACGGCATTGTGGCTGCATGCCCACAGCACAGACACTTTTCACTGGCTTTAATGGACGGTTATGGGGAGATAATCGAACCCAGTCAAGATGGATTACTGTAATTTCAGATTCTCTTGTTTACAAGTTAGGAAGTCCACAACACTCAAAAACTACATATACATAACACTGATGTTCAAATGATGTTACCATGTAGATAGAACATAAGTAAATTTGTGAGTAATCTTCTCACTATATCAGCTGGAAGCCAAAAGGTCTATACAGGTCTAATCTTGATAATGCTGAATTCCCATAGTATTGAAAATGTTCAGATTCTAGAACATGATGTTGGAGGCAAGAGACACTCCTCATTGTCCTTTGCCAAGAAACATCCAAAAGGCAAATTTACAGATTTCTAACCTGATCAATTCTATGTGTGACTAGAACTACCAACTAACATAAATGTACATTTTATAGCTGTTATTTGTAGCTGCTTCCCATCTGTATAAATATTATTGGCCTATAGTATATCGTCATGTCACCTGAAACCCTGCAAACCATAAAAACGCTCTATTTACATATTTGCCTGTATTTTGTTCTTTTTTTGTAGTGGTGAGAGAAACTTTCACATCTTCTACTACATCTACGCCGGCCTGGCTGACAGAAAGAAACTCGCCCACTACAAGCTCTCTGACAGCAAAACACCTAAGTACGTTTGACGTGCTTTAGTCCCGTCTCTAAGCCTGTTATTTTCCACCACTGCTTCTGAAAAACTCCCTTTTCCAATGATTCAGGGGCTAATCTTGTTGTTTTTCCTGTGTTTCGCCTCTGCAGATACCTGTTTAATGAGCACATTAAATTAGGGCCTGACATCGTGAGTAACACCTCGTACAAGGAGCAGTTCGATGCAGTGGAGCAGTGTTTCAAAGTCATTGGATTCACCCTCGAGGTAAGCTGCATACCATGATGCTACCATTATTGGTTGACTAATATATTGTATTTTGTCATAGCTTTTGTCAATGCTAAATTATTTTATACAAAAACTAAACAAAAAGCACAAACATTTTCAACCACAACAAAAAACGTATTAACAAAAAGGATAAGCGGAGTAAAGTTACCATTCGTAATTAGACTGGACCATCCGCTCCTGTTGCGTTCTTACATATCATCGCTAGATGCTATCTATTTTACTGCTGCTGCTGCTGCTATGCTATTTTACTGCTAATTGTGTACCAGCTTTGGAGAGCACAGGTGAGCCTGAACAAAGACCAGGTGAGTGGAGGGAACAGGATGGTAGCTTTAAAACAAAACAGTTTTTTGGAATCAGAAGAACTCCTCACATCCATCAAAGAGACCCAAAACAAACCCGAGTTTAATATACCCTCAACATCCAAGGAATAAGTTATATGAAATATACAGATAATACAGATAATTTGAGAAATGAGAAATTATTATTTTTGGTTACACAAGATTTACGTCCAAAAGACACAATCTTTCTAATACGTTTCCTGCTAATCAGCGTTTTTAGCCCAAGTATTCTTCAGACTGTGGCCGCTCTTCGGGCACACTGAGTGACTTGGTGATGGAGCACAGAGCTGCAGCACTGTGGAAGCTAATGAGGCCCAAACAAGTGATTGCCTCTGGGATCAGCACGTCAATAGCACTTATCTTGTAATCACTCGGCGTGGCTCTAGCTACAGTATTTGTCATATTGTTGTGCAAGAAATTTCTCCCAGCATAATCTCTTTCTTTTCTGTTTATGCAACTTAAGCATCCATTGTGAGGCTAAATATGCACACACCAGTCCAGGAACACTGTGCACCAAGACTGCTTATGAACAAAGGACGTTTTGTTAATATGCGGCAATAGTACTACTTAAAGACATTGTGATAGTGGAATTCATAGAACATCTCATTATATTTTGTTAACTGTATGTGATATTTTAGAACAATACATGTGTAACTCAGAGACTGATTTTTGCAACTTAAGTACAGAGATTTAGGTTGGGATAAGGGGTAGGTGAAAACAGGAATATTCTGAGCCTTGAATGCTGGACAACACAACATTACTCAAATGTTCAATGAGTCAATTAAAATACAACTCTGAGTAAGCTGAGAAAGTAATGATGAGGGAACACCATTACAACATTAGTTAATTAGCATAATGTGTCCCTTTTAGAAACCGATACAGTATACTTATGATTGGACCTGGATAGTTTTTTCCATCTTCGATTACTAAACTAGGTCAACTAAAAGATCCCAAGTTGAAGTGCAATTCTGAGTACAAGTACTGAGTAAAAAATTGCATTAACAACGGTGTGCAAATTATTCTTTGATATTGAGGTAGAGCCCCAGGACATGTTACAGTGAAGACTTCTGTATCTAAAGGAAATCATTGAGTACAAAGTGTCTCAGCCCATTAAGCTCTACATGCACTGCTCTCTGTTCTTCTCTTGGCAGGAGCTGGGCAGTGTTTACAGCATCCTGGCTGCCATCCTCAACTCCGGGGATATCGAGTTTTCCGCCGTGGCCTCGGAGCACCAGACAGACAAAAGCGAAATTTCCAACATCTCTGTGCTGGAGAACGGTGAGAGATTGCAGCTGACGTAGCACTGACGTCAAACCAAATACGACTCTGGATTTCTCTCACACACACAGCCCTCCCTCCTCCAGCTGTGTTAACTTCAATGCAAATGGAGTGAAACTAAATATGTGGAGTGTTTGAATGTTGGCATAGAAAAAAAACAATAAATTTTTATAAATCTGCCTTTACTTTTTGCCTTTACTCAGGATTTGCCTCTTTCAATGTATCCATGGATATCTTCTTGCATGGCAGCTATAACCTACACATATGTAGCATAAGTATATTTACTACAAGTAGTACAGTACAGTGACAAAGTAGTTAGCACTCTTATCTCGAAGTAAAATGGTCTCAGTATAATGGTACTATAATCTCAGTGGACGTTTTTCCCCTAGCTCCCTAAAACATATGGAAGAAGCTATCTAGTTAAATCCTATCTAAAGGTCTGCCCCAGCAGCAAAATCACTGAAGTGTATGTCAAATGCTGAGAATTTGCCTACGGGGATTAAAAAAAAAAAAGTTTGAATTCTGGCTTCTTTATCCTGGCCACTGCTGTATACTTATTTTATCATTTGCCATTTTCTCTCTTCACAGTTGCCTCTCTGCTCTGTATCCGTTCTGACGAGCTCCAGGAGGCCCTCACCACTCACTGCGTGGTGGCCCGGGGTGAGACCATCGTCAGGAACAACACAGTGGAGAAGGCCACGGTGGTGAGGGACGCCATGAGTAAAGCCCTTTATGGACGCCTCTTTAGCTGGATCGTCAACCGCATCAACTCTCTACTGCGGCCTGACAGCCAGCAAGGGTGAGGGGTGATTCAGCACATGTCAAGAGCAATAAATCATACTAAAATAAACAGAAACACAAGATCTAATTATAGGTTTCACAGTTGCTTGTATAATTGCACAGAGAGCAAGTATATGGGAGCTTTTGTAAAATTATAACACATTAATTTGACTTTCAGTCAGTGAAAGATAATCCTTCTAATAATCCTTTTTGTTTTGTTTGTTTGTTTTTTTTAAACAAATATTACTAACTTTTCTCAAGGTTATTACTATTATCATTTCAATGAAATCACCAATATGGGCAAAGACACTTTTTTGTGGTGAATGTTACCCAAGTTACCAATAGCAAAATGGAATGCAGTTTGCGTTTGTGCAATTATTCTATCTGTTTTTTTTATAGAGCTGTAACTGTGAAAATTTAAGCAAGAAGCACATTTCAGTGTTAACATTTTTCTCTTTTTCTTTAGGGAGGATGACAAGAGCATAAACATCGGCATTTTGGACATCTTTGGTTTTGAGAACTTTAAGAAAAACTCCTTCGAACAGCTGTGCATCAACATCGCCAATGAACAGATCCAGTTCTACTTCAACCAGCACATCTTTGCATGGGAGCAGGTGAGACTATCAACACAGCCCTTAGTACTACAAAAACATCCTGCTAGGAACTTTGCCTGTGTTTTTCACCTTGGTACTAGCTCATTTCTATGTAAATGGCTACCACATGTCATCATTTTTCACTGGACGCTTTAAGGAAGTTGGCAAGGGTAAAATATGCTGCTGTCTTTATTTACGGGGCGAAATGAGCTTGGCGATCTGGGGTCTTTATGTGCTCTCGTGGGTGCGTTGTAGCCTTTGGGGGCTTTACAGAATGGTTTGCTAATGTTAAATGATTTGGTCTCACCCATAGGGGCACAATAAATCACCCGCCAATGAGGGTCAATTAGGAGTGGGAGACAGTTAGTGTTAAACTCACTCTGGGGTATTGTTGGCACCCTGCCCGGAAATACACTGCCCTATACAGCCCTTTATGGACTTGCCATATGGAAGTTATACAATGTGAAGATCGGATTCACATAATCTGAAATATACAATCTACCATATGTGTTCGGTATTAAATATATCATATAGTGTTGGGAAGTAACATGTACATTATAAGAAATGGATAGTAAACGGTGAATCAAGCTGTTTTTGTTCAATGTTGCGTTTTTACACTAATTTAAATGAAACTCAAAGTAACAGTATTCCAAGTATTCAGAACCATGTATCAGAATGTCTTACTTATCTTATTCTGAGATAAATTTTCAAAGTATTCTTCCCATCACTGAACATAATACTATCTCCATGGGTACAGCAGCTGACACTCTCAGGCCAGGGTACAGGTCAGATCTGTGGAGATGCGAATCTGCTCTCACTACGAATGCTTGTTTTCAAATGTATCTTTTACGCAATATAACACCGCTTCTTGAATACAGTTAAATATGTAAGCGTGATGCCATACTGTGGAACATTCCAGGGATAGCAGTGAAATCTCCATGGAGACAAGCAGGGGGATGAGTTACATAGTGCATCTTTAATTGGTCGACATATAAACACACACTTGTAAACTAGTTTTCACTTGCTCTCCCTTCAAAATATAACCGTTTATTTGCACCTTATATGTCTGAAGTCTAGCATATTGTGGTTATCTGTTTGGCGTCCCGTAGGTTTCCCAGTGCGCCGCTCATTCCGCTCACACTGTGAATTTCATGCTAGATTGCGCACTCTGATTTGATGTTGTTTGTTCCTGTTTCGTCCTTTTCCTTCTCAGAATAGAAGTACAGAGTAACATAGCTGACTCATACTAGCATCTCTGAGTTAATAAGGTGGGATTTCTGCTTCCCTTTAACTGAAAAAAGACTTACATAAGACCACAATTAATCCAATTGCAAGCACACATTGTAATACATTTGATTGGCTGTTAAATGCTTTGAAATGAATGCGTAAATGAGGACAGAACACAGATCAAATCTCAAAGTGTTTTATCATGCTTGCTGCTCATTTGAAAGTTAAATTAATATTACCTTGCTTGAATGTAGGCCTATGACATTAATCTGATTATTATTGTGATTACTGTTCCAAAAATTATGATCATGTTGAACTGATTGTAGGGTTGGTAGGTGTGGTGATAAAAAACTGAATTGTGTTCTGATCTCAAGACAAAATGCGATTTAGTGCTTTTTCGATAATGCAACTCCTCCCACTACTCCTATTGGTCAGCCTCTGTCATGCCAAGTGAGTGACAGGTGGATTCAACCAACCTCAATGAGGTGTTAATTCGAAAAGCAAAACCGGGCCAAACAATTTGGGGAAAATATTGAATTGCAGTTTTTATAACAATTGCAATTAGGCTTGTGTTTAATAAAAAACGGATTCTCTTCAAAGTTCACATTTTAATTGACAAAAATACTGTAATATAAACTTACTGTGTGTTTCAGAACATGTTTGTACACATCCAAACTACAGGGTTAGAAGTTTTTATGCAGAATAAGTCTAAATATTTTGTTGTTTATGGAGGAAATGATGGTACTTCAAAAATTACAGCCTTTCTGATTTGCTAATTGAGTCCACTCATATTGCAATTTCGATTTGATTGCAATTAACCTCGCAGCCCTAGCTTGAATGGAATGACCTGTTAATAACATATAAAACCATACTAACTGCCACCATTGTCTAAATTGTATCTAAAAAAAGTCCTGATGTGATTTTTTTGGCATGTCATCCACCCTAACTGTAATGATGCTTGTCCTGCCCCACAAAACAAAGAAGAAGAAAACCTTATTGTAAATTATATTATGTCTATAAATAAAAAGTACATGGATTGACTGTGTGTGCTGTTTGTGTGCAGGAGGAGTACCTAAATGAGGAGGTGGATGCGCGCATGATCGAGTACGAGGACAACAGGCCTCTGCTGGATCTGTTCCTGCAGAAGCCTGTGGGCATGCTCTCTCTGCTTGACGAGGAGAGCCGCTTCCCACAGGCCACTGACCAGACGCTTGTAGGTCAGTGCCTTCAGCTAATGCAGGGACAAGACAAGTCCGCCCACGCGCTGTGTATCATTTTAGCCTTAACAGGGTAGAACAGTGGTAGAGACTGCAATGGTATTCCCTATTAGTGTTATGAAGGTATCGCTATTCTTTGTTGAGTTATATAATTTGAAATGGGCTTATTTATTTAATATGAATAAGCTTCTGATACAATATATGTCAATTGTGTGACGACTGAGGGATTACACAGATATAACACTACATAGTAATATAAAAGAAAGTACTATAATTTAATGTTGGAAATAACATTATATCGGCTGAAGAAAGAGTGTTTCTTATTATTATCATGGTATCAGAATCAGTATAGAGTATCAAATCTGTTCCTTAGTATTGAAATTGAGTTTGAAATTATAGTATCGTAAAAACACTAATGGGGTGTGCCAAGTACTTGTCTCCATGGAGTATGTATTGCATTAAGCCTATCAATCTTGCATTTATTCAATTATAGTTGTTTTTGTTACCTAAAAAACATGCTTTCGTACTGTGAGCATGGTCCCTCTCCACAAATTTGACCTGTAACAGACTGGTAATGTCACCTGCTTGTCTACATGGAGTTGAGTTAAGATGAGATAAGTTTAATGCCATACTGTGGAACATTTTGTGCAAATCTAAAAGTTAACTAAGAAGTTGAATTCTTCAACTTTAACATTTGTGTTTACACAGAGAAATTTGAATGTAACCTGAAGGCCAAAAGTTTCTGGCGCCCAATGAGAGTCGACCTAGGTTTTGGTATCACGCACTATGCAGGAAAGGTACTACAATCCTATTTAAAGCCAATACTCCATACTCACAACAACTGAATCAGTAGTCCACTTTACTTTTTCAAATCCATCAGGTCATTTACAACGCAGCTGGCTTTTTGGCAAAGAACAGAGACACCCTGCCAGCCGACATCATCCTGTTACTGAGGTCCTCGGAGAATGCGCTTATCTGCAAACTCGTCACTCATCCACTCACCATAACAGGTCTGAACTTTGGCTCTGTGTTTGCCACCAGATTTAGTATTAAAGCAGGATGTTGTTAACCTTTTAGTCCTTCACTCTTTTAGCTGCCAATCACAAGTAGCAGTAATCACATAATAGTTTTGGTCACATAAGTGTCATGGTCTTAGACTAGGGCTGAACCATTGGGGAAAAAATATCTAATTAAAATGGGTCTAAACACTCTGCCCAAAACCATTTTTTAAATAAATTGTAGTGGTCACAGGAGCAGCACCAGGACACACCCATTTTTGACTACACAGCTACAAATTTACCTAGTTTGCCAAAAAGAATTAGGAACAGTAGACAATTCAATTTGGATTGGATTTGTGGCCATACTGGCTTGTCAGAGCTTAATCTCATCAGATCTTAGAAGTTAAACAGGGCTAAGTCCAAGTACTAATTAAGTACTGGTTAGTACTTAGATGGGAAACCACTGGGAATTCTAGGTACCACAGTGGGGCGCCAGTGGCAAAAAAAACATTTTTGTGTCCTTAGGCTATACACTTCACCCACATTGCCTAGTAAGAAAGTGGTGTGTGTGAGAGTGTGTGTGTGAGTGAAGGCGGTGGTCGGAGGGGGTGATGGTGGTAATTAGCAGCCTTGCTTCTGTCAGTCTGCCAAAGGGCAGCTGTGGCAGCAGTATATATACATTATATCTGAAAATCAGATTCTCTCCAAAGTTTACATTTGAAACGCATCCATCTAGGAGAATATGATCTTACAAACAACATGTTTTTAAGCACACGTTTGTGTAGATCCAAACCACAAGGTTCACAAGGTCGTTTTCATGCAGAATAAGACAGGATATTTTATTGTTTGTGGTATTAATTTGGGAACTTTGGATTTGCTAATTGCTCCCATTCAAATGACAATTTTGATTAAATTTCAATGAATCTTGCAACCCTAGTTTGAACCTCACTAGAAGACCAGAATAATACTATTGACATTTCCATTAAAGCACTTCTGACATTGTATGAGTTGAGATGCCAGTGTGTCCCTAGGCCCATTCTGCTAACTGTCCCTCTGTTTATTTCCCAGGTAACCTTGCCCACACCAAGGGCAAAGGCATAAACACACTGCGCAGCCCTCGAGCCACGACACGCACCACCAACCTCTCCAAGGTACTCACACCACTGTCCCTGTTCACTTATCTCTATAACTTTATATGAAGAGGTATTTGAATTAACTCCTCCTCACTTTTCCATTCTCTTTTGATTTCATACTTTAATTACACTTTCTGTTCTTTGGTGACTTTAATAAACTTTACTTTCTCTCCTCTCTCCTTTTCTCTGCTTTCTGCTCTGAAAGATGGGAGTGCTTTCTTTGTACAGGTCTTGTTCTTTCATCCAGGTAAATTGTATTTCAAATAGTACTAGTACTTGTGTAGTCGTGTTGAAACTGGTTAAGCATACATTTCAAAAGTACATGCATAAAGGCACTGTACCTGTCTTTAAAATGTGAAAACAGAACAAGTTAAACATTTTGCAGAGGTCCAAAATAAGTTTATTTATGCTTTTCACAACTTTCAGAGACCAGAGTAGAGTTTTGTCATCACAGCCAATCTAACAACAACTAGCATGCTATCCACGCGCTATCTATTATAATTAGATGCAGACAGTACAGTACACGGTGTACTTCAAGAGCTGCTTATATAATATATCTGTTCTAGGGCCAGACAAATTTTGCTCAAATACATGAAAAAAATGGGTTCAGGCCCTTTAATAATAGTCCACCCTTAAATATTTGTGTTGTGTAGTTTGTCGAAATACAGCCTCTTCTATGAGGTACTACTATATTCTCTGTTAGATTAAACACAGCAAAATGAAACTGGCCAATATTCTGTAACTCGGTTTCATGTAGTGATAATATGAAAACCACTATTTAAACCTGATATCTTGCCAGTATTTGGTCTCTGTTTCACACACTATTTCCAACACCATAAAAAGTTTCTTGTTACCATTGCCCAATTTGTTGACTTAATTACGTTCTGTGTAATAGCAAATTAGTTTAAATTGTGGCGGCACTGGATTACAATTCTGCTAAATGTAGTCTTGAGGCACTACTCTAACCTAAAAGCAATTGACAGTAGCTCCATTCAAATGAACTGTGCTTGATGCGCCCTGAATCTATTTCCATTTATCTGCATATTTTAGAAAAAAGCTCATCAAAGGATCCTAAGAGGAAGCTCAGAGCGGTTACATTCTACAAACAGTGTGGGGCTCTTGTGCTTTTAAATGTGCTGCTCCCTGGTGTATTCTTAACAAGTACCCATGTATACTATTACAGTTTATGTCTTATCTTAATACAGTTACAGGTAGTATAATGCAATCTCAAACATACTACTTACTGTAGGCTATTTTGGTTTTGAGATTGCATTATACTACCTGTCCACTAGAGGGTTAGGCTTTCTACACACTTTTATGTTAAGAATAATTTGTATACAGTGTTTTATATGATGACATATCTCTTTACAGTCTCCTTCTCTGGAATTCAGCCCTGACAAAAAAAGCTTTCTCGATGTGCCATGTGATGACATAATGCACATGCAAACGGTGACTGTGGTCTTCTAAAAACAATCCGTTGTTTTTAGAAGAAGTGTTTTGCAGAATAGATACACCCTTCTCTTTCTAATACAGTGATTTAAATTTTTTCCTTTCATTTAACAACTTTATATTTTTTTACTTTGTCTTTGAAGTAATGTTTATGTGTTCACAAGGTTTAAAGGTTCTTTGTGGGACTTGCAGCCCTACAGTTATATGTAAAATAAAAAGTAAACTTGATAGATGAATGTGTGTTTATAATGGTGTATATACTTATAACTATGGTCAGATATGGATTTTTTTTTTTTTTTTTTTTTTGCCAATCCCGATATCTGATATTTGTCTTGCTGTTGTGACTAATTACTGATATTTGCAGAAACTAATATTAAGCTTTTAAAATCCAGAAGGTCAAATCTATGTTAAGTTAGTTAGTCAAGTTTGCAAACTACTCACCCTTATAAAAAATAATAACAAAATGTATTTATTTGGCATATTTTAACTCATGAGTCTGAAATGACACATGGGCACATATATTGGTGCCAAATATCAGCCAAATTTTCAATACTGGATACCAATAGCTGGGTAAATCCTCCAATATCACCAAAAACACTGATAACTGGTAAACCATCTGTATTTATAACCTACTTTGTATTTGTACACTTTTCATGGTCAGTTTTGCAAGAATTATTTATCAAAACCTAATATATTGTGTATTATCTAAGCCTTTCTCAACCTGTTTATCTTCCATCAAAGAATCTTTAAACAGAATTTTTTTTGCTGCTATTCATGTATTTGACCTTGGTAATTTGTATCTCTGCAGTCTGACCGAGACACACCTTACCACCCACGAGAAACCACCAACATGAGAACGCAAACTGTGGCCTCCTACTTCAGAGTAATTTCTATTTAATCCCAACCAAATATTTTTTTCTTATTTTATTGATCTTTCAAAATTGCAACCATCTTGTATTACCTCCAGTACTCTCTGATGGACCTGCTGTCTAAGATGGTGGCAGGACAACCCCATTTTGTGCGCTGCATCAAACCAAACAATGACCGCCAGGCCAGTAACTTTGACCGGGAGAAAGTGCTCCTCCAGCTGCGGTACACGGGGGTTCTGGAGACAGCCAAGATCAGGCGTCAAGGCTACTCCCATCGCATACTGTTTGCCAATTTTGTCAAGAGGTCAGTGTAACAGTCATGTTCATGAAGTTTGACTAAAATATGGCTAAATATGGGTGTTTTTATAGGTATTTTATTTTGGCTTTCAATGCAAACGAGGAGCCACCTGCAACGCCAGAAACATGTTCTGCAATTTTGGAGAAAGCCAACCTGGAGAACTGGGCCATGGGAAAGACAAAGGTTCATACACCATACAAATTATTACCTTGGATTAGTCTCAAATTATATTTGGAAGGAGTGAAGTAGTATTTTTCTCTTTTTGAATAAGCAATTTGCAGCAATTATCTTATCTTATTATTATCTACTAATAATTGCTTCATCACCTACCCATTTTCTGTTTTCACTTCTGATTTGGAGTGACACATTTGTTGCTCATACTTTTAAGGCAATGTAGCACACCGGGTACATTTACTTTCCCAGAAAATCAGGTAAGATCTGACTTTGTGCTTGAATGCCCAAAAGACCTGTTGAAACATATCAGTTAATTAGTCGGTTTTTAGAGTTGTATTTGGAAACACAATGCTTTTCAAAATGACTACTTCAATATTTAACAGTTTCCCTTTCATTTTTGTCTGTGTCACATTAGTTTGCCCTTTTTGCATAATTGTCCTTGTCAACACTTTCAGATGTGATCAGAAAGAAATCAGTTACTCACATCATATTCAACTGACATTTCAATAACCCCAGAAATCAGATAAAGATCAGATTTTTGGTGTACAGGCAGACATAACCATTGCCACATGCAAGGAATATACATTTTATTTTTTACAGATGTACTATTTATTATATATGTGTTTGGATAGGAAATTAAAAACATGTTACAATTAAAACATTTTTATTTCTGTTTATCCCCAGGTGTTCCTTAAGTATTACCATGTAGAGCAGCTGAACCTGATGGTGCAGCATACCACACAGCGCATCGTCCTGCTCCAGGCTTGTGTGCGTGGCTGGTTAATTGCCAAACGTTACCGCCGCATGTTAAAGGAGCGGGAACAAAGTGCTCTGGTTATTCAGTCAGGTAGGTACCACTATCACACCTGCAACTATCTACCTACCTAGAACTAAAAAAAAACAAAAACAACAATAATAGCAAAAACTGTGAGGTGTGTTGGGAACAACAAAATAACTACTGACTATTTAGCTAATGTTATTAGATCAATCCTGCTGGACGTAATGTACAGTCAAGCTACAACACGGTATCAACATAGAGTACAGTTTGACCCAATAACATTAGTGATTATTCTGTTATTCTCTCATTAGTTATTCTGTTATTCCCTAACAAGGTGCAACATTTAAAAAAATACTTTGTGGAGCTTTCTACCATGTTATAATATTGTTCCCTCATCATGCTCAGCCCACAAGTCAATGTCACCCATGTTCCAACTATTTTCCATAAATATACAAAAGCATGATACAAAACAATATACTACAACTTCACAAACCTAATACAATGCTCGGTACTTCCATTAGCGAAATGTACACTGATTGTGTGTGATATCACTCTGAAGGAGGAGAGTGGAGAGCAAAGGGAAAGGGGATTCAAACATCCATTGCTCAGTCTCCAATTCATCCTTTTCTTTTGCCCTCATCTTTTACACGATACACTGTCCCTCATCCTCTCTTCCACATTTTCTGAAACAGTCCTTCATTATGACATTCAGTTTGTTTTGATCTGCACAGCTTACAGAGGTCATCAAGCCCGAAAGAAAGTGGCAGACGATAAAAGCAAAGCCAAGTTGGAAGCATTCATCATGCAGTTTCAGGCCGGTGAGAACAATAAGATCCAGTCATTTGAATGTACAGACTGTGAGACACTTATGTTTTTCATATCCGATTACGGTTTGTTCGCAGTTTGTCGGGGTTATCTCGCCAGAAGGAAATACAAAGAGCTGGTGGATGAGAAGAACAAAGCTGCCACAAAGATTCAGGCTCGATACAGAGGGCACAAGGAGAGGAAGAGCTTCCAGAGAAAACGGTGAGACATTTCCGCAATATACGTACAGTATTTGCTTTTAGTCAGCAGTTTCAAAATGTATTATCAATCTGATCCCAACTTAAAAGGAACGAAAAGAAATGTAAAGTTTTCAAGGGTGGAACTTAAAACACTGTTTCTGATAAATTGCAGCAACAACATGAAAAGAAGTAAACTAACTGAGATGAGAACAACTTTTTTTATATGGAATACACACAGTTAAAGTTTACTTTTCACTGAACCAAAAAAGTGAAAATATCTTTACTTTTTAAGAATAAAAATGCACTTTTAATCTATGTAATTGGCTGTTCGTGGGTTACAGTGTGATGGAAAGTAAGCATAGTTTCTACAGCAGTGGTCTGACAAATCTCTCTTTATTTTTTCTGGTCACCTCTGTATTTTTTCTCTGTCACATCTCAAGCCAGAACCAAACATGTCTGAGGAATCAGATGTCTTCTTTTCAGTGACACATGTGAAACTAAGGTGCTAAGTAGTCACCCATCATTTACAAACAAAATCAAATTTCTCTCACCTCAGAGTTTACTGTTTTCTCATTGATTCCAAAGTAATCCAGAATGTTTTTCAGTCCCCCGAGAAATTTTTTAGCCTTTTTTTTTTGTTCTCATAAGCAGCAGTTATATTTGTTTCATAAAGTACTGAAGAAGTACAAAATATTATATCTTTTGAATAAAAATGTGCTCAAAGTGGCGCCTCTAAAAAAGAGCTGCATATTCCGTGTGTGACTCTGCTAATGTAGTTTCTAATGCCTGCATGAACACAACCTTTGAACTTACCCCTGTTGTATGTTTTAGGGAGGCCATTGAGAAAGAAAAAGCTGAGAAGGCCTCTCAAGAAGAACAAAGCACAGAATCTGAGAAGGTTTCAGGTGAGGAACCAACATCAGAGGAGAAAAGCCCAGACCAGGTGTCCAATGGTGAGGACGAAGCCAAGGCCGCTGTGGTGCTCCAGAGCAACTACAGAGGCTACAAAGAGAGGAAGAAGTTTAAAGAGAGGAAGAAGACCATGGCTGGAGCTGAACTCGAAATACCAACTGAGACCACAGAGGAGGGGGGCAGTGGAGAGGCAGAAACAGCGTCTGAAAAGGCACAGGAAGAGCTCACAGAAACAGAAGGTGACTCAGTTATCGAGAACACCCCAGGAGATGAAGAAACAAACCAAGATAGCAATTTGGAAGATGAGACCAAGGCTGCTACTGTCCTTCAGAGCAATTTCAGGGGACACAAAGAGAGGAAGAGGCTACAAGAAGAGGGCAAGATCCCAGCCAAGAAAGATAAAAATGCAGAACCAACAGAAGAAGTTAATAATGAAGAGGTTGAGAAAGACGAAATGCATGCTAATGAAGAGTCAAACAAGGAAGCAGAGACGGAAGAGCTAAAACAAGAAGATGGAGAACCAGTGGACGGTCAGAATGGACTGGACGAAGAAAAGGCTGCTACGGTTCTTCAAAGCAACTTCAGAGGCCATCAAGAGAGGAAGAAGCTAAGAGAAGAAAGAGAGAAGAAGGCACAGGAGGAGAACGGAGAGGAGAGTAAAGAGGAGCAAGGAGGAGAGGTAGATGTTTCAGATGTGGTGATTGAACGCAAAGACGAAGGTGACGCCGAGAAGGAGAGGCAAGAAGAGGAGGAGGCCGCAGTCAAGATCCAGAGCAACTTCAGAGGGTACAAAGAAAGAAAGAACCTCAAAGCCAACAAGCAAAGTGCCCAAAATGATGCAGAGCAACTGGAGGACTTTTCTAAAGAGGTGAGTAAGGAATTTTATTGCTTATTCCAACTTTTATGGTTGAGGGTCCTCCACCTTCTTTTCTGCCAATCTCTATGGAGATCTTGCTTTGAATGTGTCTATGGTCAAAATTGTGCTATAGCAAGAACTGAGTCTGGGGTATTTGAATAAATCTGAATATGTGGCTTGAGTAGGCTCACCTGTCCACAGACCTAATCAAAGACTTGGCCTGTTAGTGTCACTTTCTGTTACGGAGACAAGCAAGTGGGTAGCAGCACTGGAAAAGTTATGCAGAGCACCTTTAAACCATAAAAATTTAGTTGCACACAATTTAAGTACAGTGTGTCAGCTGATGAATGTCAAGCTTTAAAGGTTTTTTATTGGTAGGAACTTTACAGGTTGTGCAGCTCAATATTGCCTTCTACCCTTAGTTGCACATTAGCTGGCACTTCTCTGTTAATTTGTTTTCAAGCATCTGTGGCAACACTTTCTCTGGGGAGTGGAAGTTTATCATATTTGTAAAGCCTAAAGTCGCTGAAGGCAACAACTTTATACAAACAAATTACTCAATACTTATGAATAAATGAGTCCCTTGTTGTCTTATTTTCCATGTTTGTTCCCTTGTCTGTGCACAGATCGCACAGGCAGCTCAGGACTTTGCCAGCCGGCAGCAAAAACTGAACGAGAAGCGCCAGGCCCATCAATCAAAGCCCGAGAACAATGTGAAGGAAAACATGGTGAACGGCCACGCTCCTCCGAATGCCCAACCAGGTGAGATAAGGCAGATTGGCTTGATGAAAAGCACATTATAATCCATTAGATACAATACAAAATTGTGTCATGAGCGGACCCCGGGTTAATATGTGTTTACAATATGCTCCACATTGTTTTTCATTGCATAATTATGAATGACAGTCAGGCTTTGATTTATCAGTTCTTGTCATCTATTCACTAAAGACAAACAAACAGCATATTTTGTATTAATACGCTGCACACAAGTATGAAGCAGAAAAAGTAGGGCCAAAATGTGATGACTACTCAACTGCAATTATTTATGCATTATAATATTATCGGCAAACAACAATATATTTTGTCTCCATGTAAAAAAAATCTGCTAACCTTGCAGTTTAGACCTGCAGTGTATTGAAAATCAGATACTTATCAATACTAAAATTAGTATTGAAAGTATATACTCACTTGAACTTGAAGTATCAATACAGTAATTAACCTTACCTGATTAGCTTCAGAATGATCTTGAGCAGTATTAGAAAAGAATAAAACCATATATCTGGTTGACAGATTACAGATATAAGACCACATGGTACTATTATTTAATGTTCAAAATGACATTCTACTGTAGTATCGGAATTGGTAATCAGTATCGAGTCTATTAGTATCAAAATTGAGTTTGAAATTGACCAATTTAAATCATTGCGATATTATATTTTTTTCCAAAATTACAATCCTTACAATACATTGACTGGAAAGTGGACGTAAATAAGTCCCAATAAGCATAAATAAGTCACTATGGAATGCTTAATTTCTATAACCGGTCTTCTGCTGTATAGTATAGTTATAGTAACTTACAGTATTTCCTCTTGAACCTGACCGAACTAGACTGAATTGTGTTGTCCAGGCCTGCTCATTCAGAACGGCAGCTAGGGACTTTAATACAGTACTCCCTTGATGCTATCTCCGGTTCACATGCTCTTTTCTTCCTCGTGAGTTGTGATTACATCAGAAAAACTGCGAGTCAAGTGCCCAAACAGGAAGCGCTCCTCTACCTGACGTGTCATCAAAAATCAAATGTGATGTGTACAGGCGATAGATGTAATTGCTTTTGGATGGGGAGGGGGGGGGATAATTGAAAGTTCAGTGTCCGGGAAAAAGCTGGTGGAGAAAATGTCACCCTCGCTGTTGGTTTGGACGTCATTGAATCATAATGATGAAGGGGAAATATAATTGTTTTGTGCTCATTAAAAACTATAGAGGTTTTCTGACAGAATTTGAATTTGTTCAACTGTTAAGGTTATGCTAGCCAATTGCGATGATAACAGTTAGAAATAGTATTTATAACAATATAAATAGTATTTATAACAATAATAGCAACTGTAACAGTATAGCAATAGTAATGACAATAGCAATAATAACAGTACAGTAATAGTAACAGTATCAGCAACAGTATAGTAATTGTTATAGTAACAGTATAATAATAGTAACAGTTATGGGTGTAACGATATCCAAGTCTCACGATACGATATCGTCATGATCTGAACTTCACGGTACGATATTTATTGCGATATCGTGGGAAAGCTCACGATATGGTGGGGAGGCTCACGATTAGGGATGTAACAATATCCAAATCTCTCGGTATGATATTTTTCACGATATACATCTCATGATTAGGTATTAGATATTAGATATTTATTTATTTTGTGGAGGCAAACGAAACTGTTAATATGCTCCTTTTTCCTTAAAATGTCTTGACAAGACTTAATCGAAAGAACTAAGACTTAAAAGTGCTTAGAACTGTTATTTCTGCTTGTATTCTATGCTGAAATGGAGCAAAGGATCATTGTCTCTCCTTGTTCTCTGTCTTTTTTTTAGCTATCGCTGCACCATAACTCATAATTTAAGCAAAGAGACTTGTAATTTGATACATTGTGATGGTCCACGATATTATTGTGAGAACTTTGATGTCACGATATTTTGGTTATTGTAACATCCCTACTAGTAACAGTACAGTAATAGTAACAGTATCAGCAACAGTATAGAAATTATAATAGTAACAATCATAATAATTGTAATAGTAACAGTAATAGTAACTGATAGTAATAGTATAGATTTGTAATTGTTTATTTGAACTGAGACAATTCATGTTAATAAATCTTTCTATAAATGTACCAGTATTAACTATACAGATAGATTTCAGATTTAGATTGCTATGGCATAGTGTTATAAAGTTATAAAAGTCACAAGACACAGACTTGTACACAACAACATACTGTAAGTCAAGGTCAGTATCCTCCGGCTTCATTGTGAAGTCATGCTTTTTTTTTCAAGTTTTAGTAATAGTGACAGTGACTGTAATAGCAATATTAATACCAATAGTAAGTGTAATAGACATAGTATATTAACATTTTTTGTAAAATTAATAGCAATAATAGTAGCAGCCTTAAAAGTACCTCTTACACATTTTGATGAGAACAAAAACTTGCCAAGGATATTACTGAATGAATTACCAATATTATTTCCAAAGCCTTCCACTCATATAAAATAATCCCCTATTATCTCATCAGGTCATTTCCTCATCGCCAGTTTGGTCCGTCCTCATAAATTTGACTTCATACCAATCACTTGTGACGCACCAAATGAGGGCTGAGTCACATTGTTCTTCATGGGAAAGGTCATCAAATGTTAATCTTGTTTTCACCACCGAGCGTTTCAACAATTATGGCGAGGTTTCATAATAAGTATGTGAAATTGGCTCTCGTCATTGGGGTAATACACGGTGACCTTTAAATGGAGTCGTAGTATGAAAACGACAAAGTTTGAACGCACCTTTACATCAGATTTGTACATGATGGATTGTTTGGGATTTTTTTTTCTTATGCCTTAGCTGTAATTAATCTCCTGCTGTAAACAAAGGTCAATGAAAATTATGATTGAATTAGCACGGTCACGCATCAACAGACAGTTACATACAATACACAGCTAACACCTCCCATTTCATGCCAGAGCGATGATGAGGAATTGAATTGCCACAAAGTTATAGAACAAGTGTTCAGGGGTTGGAAAATTCAAAGCCACCAAAGGCCTAAGGGTTAAACTGCAGTGGAGATGGAGGTCAGGTCGATAGGGGCGACAGGGTCGAAGGTTAGAGTGGAACACGCAGCTGGTTGCCGTTGTTTGTCCAGTCGCATGTAATGTAAAACTGTAGGGTCTGACACTGCCATGATACAGTGAGCAAGCAACCACAACCTGTCTGCTATCGAGAATACAAGACAAGCAAATTGAAGTAGATGGATAGAAACTTTCTTCATCCTGAAGGAAATTAATTTTTCAGCAGCAGCAACAATAATGATAATAATAATAATAATAATAATACATAACACAGTAATTCAATTATAGAAATGCGTTGTATACCTGTATGGCATGTGAAAGAAACGTGTTTATTTGTGATATGATGTACTGAATACGTAGTATGTGTGCTGTATGTATGTCATAATGTTAAAAAAAATCTCAAAATTGTAGTTTTAAAAATAGGCAAAATTGGAATAAAATGTGCAAAAAAGAAAAAAAAAACATTAAAAACTTGCTGTGTCCTCTTCCAGTCAATAGTAAAGTGATATCTCTGTTTAAGTGTATAGTCCATGCTCTTAACAACATTTGACAACATTAACAACAATGATATAAAGCTACCATTTATAATTAGACTGGCTGACCTTGTCTTGTTGTATTCTCACATACCACCATTAGATGCTTTTTACATTACTGCAGTCTGAAAGTTTAGATTAGAAAAGACCAGGTGAGGGGAGGGGGAACACGTTTCAGATCTGACAACTACTGGTAAAAAATAAATAAATAAACTAACGAATGGTAGCTTTAAGTAAGTATTGCCCCTCTTGTTACTGTACTGTAACACTGACAATACTCTAACAAAAGTAAGCCTTAGTTTTTCCTCACATATATAGTTGAATATACATTGGTGTGAGCACTGAGTGTTGTTGTCCTGTTTCAGCGGAGAAGAGGAGCTCAAGGACCCCCCGCAGGTCACAGCAGCCCAAGACCCTCAACTCTCCAGAGGACTCAACTTACTACAACCTCCTCCATGTGAGCCAGACAACATACTGATACAACTACTCTTTTCAACACACGCTTTTCCATACATCACATCCATATTTAGCAAATCATGGTTTAGCACTACTGTTTTTTTCCATATATTTTTATAATTGGCAACATAATAAAAAATAATCTGATTTGCAAAGTTTGTTTTGGTTTATAGTTTGGTTTTACAGCTTAATTTATGAATACCACTTTTTGTCACTATTAGTCGAAAATACAGTTTTTCTTTTTGTTACTACAGCTACAAATAATAATGGGACAACCTATACTACTAGTTTTACTTTGAATTCCACTCTTATCAATGTACACTCAAAAATGTATTTATTACATTTTTTTTTTTACAAAATATTATAGTTGTAACCATTTTTGAGGGAAGTAATTTTTGTAATTGGTGCATCAGCTACCACTAAACCTTAGAGCCATAGCTAAAGCAAATTTTGGCTTTGTCCAATAAAACAACAAAGAAGCACTCGCTCACAAATGACTTCTGATAGGGTAAAACTAATATAACAATAATGCATGTATTCTCTATTTCCAGCGTTCAGTCCATGACGATAAACGCAGATCGAGGAAAGGCGGGTGAGTGACCAGTTCCATTTCTTTAACACTCACCACGTTACCTCCAGCTTATGCTACCCTTCCCTTACCATTAACACCACCCTTATGCGGAGATAATGTAAGAGCATCCATACATATTAAACCCAGATCCCACACGGAGAGAGCAGATAGATGGAGCGATAGGGTTAGAGAGGGCCACGCTCCCCCCTACGTAACACACACGCACAGGTGGGGAGGGCTAAACATCAAGGGTAATCATTTGTTAGCAGATAAATAAAGGCAGTGGCAACGGCGATGGACAGGGCCTGTTTACATGCATCATTAAGGACGAGAAGGTCACCAGGACAGATAGCATCGCAGGCCCGTGCTGACAGCAGGAGGACGGGACAGAGTGGGAGAGAGTGGGAGGTAGAGGAGGAGCAGGTCTGAGTGTGGCGCTGATAAGAAGGAGGGAGGGCGTTTAAGAGAGAGCAAAAAGACATCTATAAAAGGTCTGGGGAAAAATATGTGTGTTGTTCTTATTATTATGTGAAGTGGAGGGGTACCTGTCGTCTCTACATAACTATGTGCTTGCATTCGCTATCAAATTGATGTAAGCGGGCTTTGTCTGGCAGCGCTCCCTGGGCTGTCTGCTTTTGTTTTAGACTGTTTTAGTTTCCTTACAGTTCTATACATGAAGATGAGCTTAAAGGTTCGATATTACACACAGTGGACAATTGTGAGCTCTAAACCATATCTGGAGTTGTATTTTTTTTTCATTCACAAGTGTTTGAGTAACTCTTTATTTTAGTCTGTCTACATCTCTAAAGCTCAAAATGCTCTGTTCCACGTTGTGATGTCATGTAGTGGTAGTTTTCAAGTTAACCTTTTACCTTTTAGGCTGACATCATTCAGCATTATAACATAAATCAGAAAACTGCGCAATATAAGCTCATTAACCCTCATCTGTCTAGTATGAAAACTCAACTAACTGTGGCATTATAATGGTCTGGTAAAATGTATTCAAATAATGCTCAGATTGGTTCTATGTAATTTTGTTATAGCAGCGGAAGTTATGTGATTGTTTGTTCAGGTTGTGTCAGGTAATTTGAAAATGTACTCTGTAAATTAGGGCCATACAGTGAGATTAAAGGGACAGTCTGGAATTTTAAACATAGGACCTCATTTCCTAGTTAGCCAGAGTATTGGAGACATATGGAGACACTTTTTAAAATATTCCATCCAGCCCTTGTATTTGCAGAGGTCGCTGGTGCTTGGCTAGTGCATGTCAATGGTCATCTATTATTACTCCAGACTGTTGATGTGAATGTTTGTGTTGATAGAGTTTGAAATAAAACTAACCTTGCATCACATGAATCATTGCATGTCGAGGGACTATTTTCTCAGTTGGTAGATAGATGCTAGTTGATATCAGTCTGCCACTGCCAAGCTTTCTATCAGGAAGTACAACTCACTGCCGCTCAGACATAAATCCTTCAAATGCAAGGTTTTGATTGATTGATTGAATTTATTTAGCGTCTTTCAAGATATCTAAAGCGCTTTACAGTTCATTATTCAGTCACTCCACACTCAGTGGTGGTAAGCTACTATTGTAGCCATAGCTGCCCTGGGGCAGACCGACAAAAGCGAGGCTGTCAATCTGCGCCATCAGCCCCTCCGACCACCACCATCACTTTCATACTAGGCAATGTGGGTGAAGCGTCTTGCCTAAGGACACGATGACAGTTTTTTACCACTGGCACCCCACTGTGGCACCTGGAATTCCTAGCAGTCTCCCATCCAAGTACTACCCAGACCCAGCCTGCTTAGCTTCTGAGATCTGACCGTGTCAGGCTTTGACAAGCTGGTGTGGCCACCAAATGCAAGGTTGGTTATACTTCTAAAATTATTCTACTGACACATTTACATCAAGAGTGTGACATTATAATTGTTTTCCCTTGGCTGCACTGTAGAGTGGGTAAAACTGTTTTTAGTGGCATGCTAACAATGGCCATTGACATGCGCTAGCCTAGCAGCAGTGACCTCTGCAAATACAAGGACTGGATGGAATATGTCTCCACACGTCTACAACACTGTGGCTAACTAGGAAATGAGGTCTTATGTCCAAAATTCCGGACTGTCCCTTTAATATCACATAGTCAATTATCATCTTGGGTCTTTCCTATCGAGAGGTTTACCTCCAATCCACTGTCATTGAAAGCATTATCAGATAATGAATATTGAAATATATTTGTTTCAGTTTTTAATCAGACAAAACAAAATTGAAGAAAAAAAATGTTATTGCCACATGTATTAGAAAGATCATATGAGTTGTCACTAAACTTGTGTCATCAAGTACATGAGTCTACTTACCATTTAGAGGAGAATGCTCCATAGCCAACGCTCTACTCACTAAAACACTATAGTTTATAGCCTGATCTAGTCCAGTGCTGCCCAGCCCACAGTGGAGCAGAGGTGGTTAGCAATAGCAGCCAGCCAAAGATGAGGGGAGCTCTCTTGTGACCATAAGCTGACCAACAGGGCACAGCCATGTCCCCAGGGGTCCCGGCTCCAACACAGAGAAGTGTGGTGTCAGTGTAACTAAGCTAAGATAATTACTGGAAGGAAACTCACTATCTGTTATCAGCATATGTTCAAATATGTGAGGCGTATTGATCTACATAGACTTTCTTTTCTTTTTTCCTCTGGCTCGGTTCATATTGAGGTCAAAACATAGGTCCAGCTACAGAACAGCCGCAGTGAGACTAGCCTTTGTGATGCTGATAGATGCTTTTACACAGTGTGGTGGGCAGAGAGATGCAGACTGGAGACTCAATAATTACACCCCTACTGCACTGTACAGATAAAATGCCCAGTGCCTATGGAAATACATTGATAGATTATATCCAGAATGAGACACATGTTTGGTCATGAAAAAGTCATTTAATTTCATTTTAAGGGGATATTTATACACTCATATGCCCAATGTTTTTAATCTACTAATGCCAGTTAACACCAGTCATTTGACCAAAAGCTTGTACAACATTGTGTATTGTAAAAGCAGCTATTGATGGGGGGAAACTCACATTTTATTGCATAGACTGTATATATAAATGGACATAGCTAACGTGCTAGCCACCACGTTCCAAATATGAATCATATGGAGGCAACTGCCAGGGACAGAAAATTGTATCTAGTCAGAGATGTTGTTGGGAGAGGGCTATGGGGAAACTGCCTGTGACTATCCAACACAGTTGTGAATCTGACATGGTTCAGTATCAGAGGGAGGGAAGACAAGGGACTAAGTAGGTGGAGCTAACAGTTCTGAAACATGTTCTTCACTTATAGTTCAAAATCGAGAACTGTCCCTAATGAACTAAACATATATTTTCTGCTTAATACCAACCCCTGACAAAAATATGTAATGCTTAAAGTAACACCAATGTTTTTTTTATATCAGATGTAACATATATACTAGAATGAGTTAATGGAGAGTAAACCAAGCCATACATTATTCTTTGACCAAAACTTTTTTTTTTTTTTTTACAAAAATGTTATTACAAAATTAAACAACCCAGTTTTATTTTATTTTCCATTCATCTTTATTTGATATGCATACACCTTTAGAGTACCAAAACTTAAATACCCTACTACAGTTGCTTTAACATTTTCTCTCTTACAGGCCTGGAAAGTTGCTAGACATTGATGACCAGTACTACCCTGGCCTGTCTCCCACCTCCACACCTGAGAGAGGCCAGTCTGCAGAGAGGTCAGAGTCTGGGAGCAGGAGTGTGTCTCCAGAGAAGAGAGGGTCTGGGAGCAGGAGCGTGTCTCCAGAGAAGAGAGGGCAGAGGGAGAGAGCTCAGACCGAACAGCTGCCTAAGAGACGCAACTCAGAAAACAGGTTTGTCACGAATTGTTCTAACAACATCTGATACTCAATATTGTAGTTTTTGTTAGACTGGACAGTACGATGTTAACGATAGAAACATGTTGTTTTTGCCGAGTTGAGTTCAATAGGTTATGTTCTACAATTTAATATAATAATTTCTGATGGAGGGCATATATGTAATAATATAATAATTTCTAATTTGTTTATTCTTAACAGCAAAGATGTTGGACTTTATGCCAGTTTTGTTTCATGTGGATTAGCCCAGTAATTACAGAGATACTAACCATAAACAAAATCAATAGATCTACAATTTGATAGTTAAACTGTAAACTCTATCATTCTGTCGGCTCAATTTTAAACTAATATAGAATTTTATGATGTTACTTGAACGCAACCTATTGAATATTGTTTTGCAGGTAAATATCCAATACAAATCAAACAGCATACAAAATGGTAGCTGAAATATGAGCGTTCACTGCTGAGGCCATGTTCCAATATAAAACCTGTGATCCAGGCAGTGTGTCTGTATACATGTGCCTGGTCAAACAGTTTAATAACGACTGTATGTACATGTATTTTCCCTCCAGAGCTGCAGGCCTTTCCTCCTGACAGCACACAACATGATAAATGACATGGTAATGATAAATGTGTCCTCAACATGAATCACTCCATGTTTTTCCCCTGTTCACACTTCCTCTATATCTCTCTTAGTTCTGATTTTTTTTTTTTTTCTGCTCGGTTCTGCCCTCTCTCTGAGCTCAAAGTCACGATTTGGCATTTGTGTGCAGGCGCTCTGTCCCGAGAATGGCCTCCACCGAAAGTCACAAAGAGGACAATCCATACGACTTCAGACACCTGCTAAGGAAGACTTCACAGAGGCAGAGGCTCATCAAGCAGTACTGACCACACCGGGGAATCCTGCACTGACAAATGATGCTCTTCAATTGACTTTTTGAATGTCACTGGACACTTTTAGATACTTTTAAATTGTGTATAATAATGTAAAATAATAGAGATTATAAATGAGAAAGTATTGAACTATAATGGTCTGGCTAATCTTTCTGTTTTGTTCATAATTGACTGTATCTTTTCAAACGTCTTGCCATACACGGTCTATTGTTTGACTTTTATTAGTTATTATGTGTAAATAAATGAAAGCCCCATATTTTCAGAATAGAACAGTTGCATGTATTGATTTGTTGCGCTCCAGTGAGTCCATCTCTTAAAATGAAAAGTAAGGTTTCATTTCATTTTAAAGCTACTATAGAGGCCACTAGATCATAATTTTACCACCCAATTTATTAGAAAAGGTAATTATGTATTTAATTATAATCATTTATTCCTCTGATGACTGCTTATAAGTAACACGCGCCCTTCCTTATATGGAAGCAAAGGCAATAGTACAGACTACTGCTTTATGAATTACACATTTCAAACATTTCAGATTGAAGAACATGCTGAAGCCATGTGCTGGTACAATGCTGCTGTAACCATCATACTGCTCTTTTCTAGAGCATTTCAGTGAGATTGAACCCCTGACCTTTATGTGACATTTGAATGGAGAAATGCCCCTTAGGGAATGTTAGTGAATTCTCAAGCTCACGCTGAATGGACAGAACTACATGTATGGAAACATTGTAAACACAACACAACAATGGAGTGACCACAAAGAAGGCACAAAAGTGTAGAGTGCACAGGATATTACAACATAAAGAGTACATCCACCAAAGCCCCATACACTATTCCCACACTGTAGTCCATTTTATTTATGTTTTTGTTTCAGATAGTGGACATGCTTTGACTCAATGTGACAAAACCAAGTATGTGGTTTGGATCAGATTGCATTTTCACTTATTATCAAGTGGACTCTTTATCTCCAGCGATTTTGGAAATATATAATTCCAATTGTCAAACTGTACCCAGAACTGATGCAGCATTTTGACAGTGTCATTATTTAACCTGGTCTCAGGTGCTTCAGTCAAGAATTTTGGGGTTCAAATTTATTTTTCCTGGCATACCATTATACAGAACAGAGTCTAAAAGTGGACATGGATTTCTAAAAACCAACACTTCTTGAATACTTCCACCAAATGCTCTGGATTTACACTGAAGTGTGAATGCTGAAAATTCAAACTGGTGACGCCCCACCATGCAGTGCCTGTAGAGGTGGGAGCCACACGCGCGTCATGTATTTTAGCCAAGTGTCCTCATCGCCCTGCTGCTTCCTCCTCCCGGAGGCGGCCAATTACAGGCGTCGCTCTACAACAAAGTAGGTCTGCAATTTGTGGAGCATAAATGAGCTGGCTGCACTGTCTGTATGGAGGGTAAGTTAAGCAGAGGACACAATGTTTGGAATGTATGGAGTCACGACGCACAGACGCAGAACCCATCGTCATGACCTGAGCTGAATCATGGAGGGATTTCGTTAGTGACGTGCAATTTAGGGGGCTTACAATTAGATATGGCTCGTGCTGCATAACCACGGCTTCTCGCAGCTTTTTGACAACGTTTAACACCTTCTACTTTTATTTTTTATTTCTTTATTTTTAAATTCAATCTCTTCTAAAGTCTCTTTCTATGTATGTAGCTTTAGTTTGATCTGACAAATGTAGCTTTTGTGTTGATGTAATATTTCGGGAGCCAAAAGAGCGTGCTTTGCGTGGGAGCGCGGAGCGTGCGCGCGGGTAGTGAAGAGAGCCGTTGGATCAGTGGAGACGCTGCTGCGTGCAGCGCAGCTGTGCACCTGTGGACCTCTGCAGAAACACTGTGGACTGTTTCTGTGTTTTCCATCATTTCCTTGGGATTTGTCTAGAGCCTAAAACCCGAGAGAGTCGGATGCGCGGCTGGATTTGGAGCAGCTTGCCCCGGTTCAGCACCACCGCTGTGAACAGCTCCCGGTCATCGCGTGGATGGGCTCCGGTCTGTGTGCGTCGAGCAGCTCCTAACTAACCATGGCATCGCACGGCTTCTGGTCCCTGGGCGCGGACAACACAGGGGCAAACACCGGGAGTCAGAGCCCCAGCACGCGTGAGTGGCGCTTTGTTTTTTCTCCTGACGAGAAGCGCACATAGCCTCACAGCTACTGCCTGTTCATTGGCTCAATGGGCCTGTTTTCTTTTTCTAATGTCTGCTTTCCGTATCTGCCTCCACGAGGCGCGAGGCACGTGTTAAAAGAGCATCTATGTCAATTTACTGTTCAAAGGCTCATGATTCCATTCTGTTTATTAATCACCAATTATCTTTGTAGCCAGGGCTTGGTGCCAAGCGGCGGCCCAGAAATTACCTGTAGGAATTGGATCAAAATTATGTGGTATGTTTGCATAAGCTGTTGCCTTGACCTCATTTTCACCATGTTAAAATATTGCTTTGTTACTAACGGATCATTATGTCATGGACTGTTTGTTCTCACAAAGCGCTGCTAAATGTGGGAGAAGGGGAAAAACCCGTGGATCCTGGCGCCAAACAGCCGCCACCGAGCGCCCCTGGCCCCGGCTGCGGCTGCACCAAAACCTGCACCTGCAACAAGACTGCCGACTTCTCTGACCTCTATTCAACAGGTACACGCACGCCAAACACGGGCACAGCAGAGGCCATCACATCTCCTGGAAACAGAAAACGCACAGTCATATTTAGCCTAACCGCTCTTTATCATAATTATCAAAAAGTAAAGTAGGCCTAACTTGGTCCTTGGTGATTTTACGGTATATTACAATGGTAGGCCTACGAAGAGGATATAAATACATTTTTATTGGTAAAATGCTTGGGGATTTTTTTTTCTTTTTTTTCTTTCTTTTTAATAGATGTCTTTGTTGCAACGGTTCACTTTGGTAAGGTCACCTTCAGCGAAATGGCACGTCGCAGGTGCGCTCTGGTGCACTGGAAGCCTATATTCCTTTTAAATAAGAACCATATTTTAATACATAGGTCAAGGGTATTATTCTGGCTGAAGGCTGTTTTATCAAGATCAAAAAGCATGAAAAGCAGAGCAATTTTTATGTATTTTTTTTTTTATTGAGGCCTATTTCAATTTTTTTGAAGATTTATCCTTGGCAAAAACTATTTTACGCAGATCTCCTCCCGGCCGCGGACGGAGACTCCAAAACCATGACGTTCCTACAGGAGGTAGTGGACATTTTACTGGCCTACATCGTGGAGTCCTTTGACCGGGAGACCAAAGTGATAGACTTCCATTACCCGAACGAACTTCTCCAGATGAACAACTGGGAGCTCCAGAACCAGCCCGCCTCGCTCGATGACATCTTAATCAGCTGCCGCGCCACGCTCAAATACGCCATCAAAACAGGTAGGCCACGTTCACCTAGAAGCCTTCAGTATGAAGAAAACATGGCGGCGTTAAAAAACAGACCCTAGCCACGTTTTGTCAAAGGAGAAGCGTTATTATTTAGCACTTTTATTTTACGACTAAATTAATTGTGCGTAACTTGAAATTAATTACACTTGCAATTTTATAGTAGTAGTCTAATTTTATCCAGGTCTAATTATAAGTAAAAGTAATGGAGGCTTTTAATAGTCAATTATCTAGGCTATGTGGCGAAACTTCATTTGACCTTGGTGACAATGTTAAAAGAAAAACATAAAGTATAAAAAAATAAAATAAAATATAATAATAATAATAATAATAGCCTTAAACGAATTGTTAGAATTACAATAAATACATTAAAATACAATCACTTTTTATAAATAAATACAAATATATTGATAATAAAAAAAATACAGTAAAATAAAGTCAAAAACCAAAAAAATGGTTTAACGCCGAAATTAGGTACGTCTAAAAATAGTTCCGCTGGGGGATAATGGAGCACGCCTACGAAAGGCAGTAAGGGACTTGTCCTTTTTTCAGCTGCTGCATGGCCACCAGACCGATAAATGGTGACGCAGTAAATCTGTTTCACCAAGGAGCACGTAATAGCCTAATAACCGGTCTTCACGGGCCAAGTCCATTATTCTGAACTGACTGACAGGAGAGCAGAGTGCAAATTTATCCAAACAATATATGGCTTTTTCGCAGACATATTCTCGTTCGTTTAGGCTGTTACAATGTATATAATTGGAGACGCCATCTTTTTTTATGGCAGTGTCTTTTACGATTTAATTGCTGTGTTTCCCCCATCCTGCCATCCTGTTTCTCCAAAAATGTTTTCACAATTTCTAAAGATGCCTCAAAATGTCATGGCAGCTGCATATGCAACCTACAATTAAGTGGTTAAAAGATGGCAGATTCTTTCCAAACTTACAGTCACCATAAAGACACCCTTTTTTATTTTATTGACAGGAGATGAAATGTTCAAATTGCAGCCGACTTACTTGCTTACTTATTTCTGTGTGATTCAGCCCACCCCAGGTACTTCAATCAGCTTTCTACAGGCTTAGACATGGTTGGACTAGCAGCTGACTGGCTAACATCCACAGCCAACACCAATATGTAAGTATGTGGCCTGATTGTAATGATAATAACAATGAATTCTATTTCCGGCTTGTCTGTTGGCTGTCTGTGCGGGGTCTGCAGCCGCTGATAGCTGCTTTTTCCCCTCTCAATCACGGCAAATGAAAAGCATGGAAATAAAAGAGCAGGCGTCCCCTTGGCCCCTCCCGTTCACCCTTCCTGCCCCTGCCTTTTATCCCTCCTAGTCACCTCTGATCCCCATGGGGATTCAAGAGGGGAAATTAGCTCTGAAATTAAATTCGGACTAATCTGCTGCAAATTCAAGTGTCTGTTTTCGGGTGATAAACTCCCTTGGCAGGGGTAGGGGAACTGAGGAGGGCTGCTGTTTACACAAGGAGATTTTTTAAGCACTATGCTTAATGTAACACATCTTAGGAGCAGCTCTAAAGGAAAAAAATAAATAATAATTTTTAAGAGATATATTTTGTTTTATACTGTTATTTTCTGTTAAAGCTGCTAGAAGTCATGGTTAAACAGTTTTGTTTAGTTTTGTTTGTTTCAAATTGCAGTGGGATTTATGTCTTTGTTGTCTTTGTTTGCTTTTGAATAATGACACTACAATTTTAAACTTGATTTTAACACTTAGGAAAAGGCATGATACTCTTATCAATTTTTATGCAACAATGATAATTAAAAACACGTTGTTGTTTTTTTTAGACAATTTAATGTAATTTTGAACATAAAATAATAGTCCTTTCTTTGTTATTACCTTGGTCTAGTTGTCACATAGTTTAACCATAAATCTAACTAGAACAGGTCCAATTTTGCTCTGTTTATGTAATTTTCTTTTTCCAATGTCAGTACTATCTTAAATGAGTATTTAGTTTCTATATTAATTATAATTTGTATCTGGGCACTGATAATTTTGACAAACCTAGCAATGAGTCATTCTCAGTCTTTCGGTCTCTTGCCGTTGCACCTGCAGATATGTTTGTCTAAACTGTTCTGTGTGTAATTTTAGGTTCACATATGAGGTGGCCCCTGTCTTTGTGCTTCTGGAATACGTCACTCTGAAGAAGATGAGGGAGATTATTGGTTGGTCGGATGGGCGCGGAGATGGCATTTTCTCTCCTGGTATGTAAGCTGTGCCAACCTCACACCCCTCGGATGAAAAATGGAATGGTCCACTTGTGCTGAAATGTGTCTATTTGCATTTTGATTATATAAACGGGCCTCAGTTCAAAGCTAATTAGCATGAAATCATTTTCTTTTCTGACTTAAGCCCCCCTTGTCCGGAGACTTTAATTTCTTATTTGCATTTTCTCTGGCACAACATGAGCAGCAGCCATTGGACAAGACAAAGGCTTTGATTGGCTGCAACACGATAAACATTGGGCTGATTTTGAAAACATTCCCCATTCACCCTGCCCTCGTATATCACATTTTTCATTTTTAGTGTCAGCAAATAAAAGCCCGCATCACTCCCTAGAGACATTAGATTTAAGCTGTGATTTGTCAGAAATGACTGACTGAAGTGTGTCTGTCCTCTAGGTGGTGCTATTTCCAATATGTACGCCATGCTGCTGGCCCGATTCAAGATGTTCCCTGAAGTGAAGGAGAAAGGAATGTCATGCATCCCCAAGCTGGTGGCCTTCACATCTGAGCATGTAGGCCTCAGTTTAACAACAGATTAATTTAGCTAACTTATTTAACTTATTAGGGATGGGCGATATAAGAAAAAAATAATACAGATAGTTTTCCTCATATTGATTGATCTTTAGTTTTGATTTTAATTTTCTTAGTCCTTATTTCACAAACATAAACGTCTAATCTTTTTTCTATCAAAAAATCTAATTTCCTCCTCCAAAGTCAGAACTCTGCTTCTACTTTCAACTGCTGCCATATCATTGACAATTAGACATGACTATTTCACGATTTCTCAGTCTTTCAGTTAATTGCCCAGCCCTAGCTCTTATTATGTTAAACTCAACTTTAGTTTAATAAGAAAAAATAACATGCTATGTATTTTTATGTAAGACATTATTTATCTGTTTACAAATGACTCAATAAATGGCCAGTTTAAATTAATTGTGTACAATATTTAAAATAATTTCCCTTGATAATTTATTAATTAAAATTATAAGTGCTATTTCTACGGCAGCATTATAATGTAAAAAATGTACTATAAAATTTACTATATTCTGCCAAATATTAGAATTATTATAGTATAATTTCCATTAATATATTTACTCCAATATGAACATACTTGATCTATATAAATTGATCTATATAAATCTGAAAATGTCCAAGTACAAATTTTTACAATCAGTAACATTTACACTTATATGACTGGGTAAATAAAAGCTATGGTGTGAGTATAAAAAATTCACACTGTACAAAATAATGAACTGTGCTTAAACTCTACGTGACCATTTTTTTAATAGCGACATTTAGCTCAGCCCTTACATACATCACACAGGCCTGTCACATACCATCTTATCTCCAAAGGACATCTGAACCACTTTCAGCTTAAAGCATCAAACCTGACACAAACAGTTACACGCTAGCACATTCTCATTACATCCCCTACTGTGACCTCACCTGTATTCCAACATATTAGGCTTTTCACTGCAGCTTTTTGCTTCTTTCTCAGAGCCATTTTTCCATCAAAAAAGGCGCGGCAGCCCTGGGCATCGGCACAGAGAGCGTGGTGTGCATCAAAGCAGATGAAAGGTACTAACTAGAGGTAAATTATCAGTCAGCTAGAGATTCACCAACATCTCAAGCAGCTCAAGCTTTTCCATTTGTTGACAGCGGCAAAATGATCCCAGCCGACCTTGAGAGAAGAATACTGGAGGCCAAACAGAAGGTAATCTTATGCAAATTATAACAGTAGCGACTATAAATAGAAGGATTTTATTTCACACTTCAGTGATTTTAATATGACTTTGCAAATACTGAAAGATATCGAATCTCTACAGTGTATTTTTTTGTTTGTTTGTTTATGTATTTATTTATCACTAATAGCAGTTTGTTTGTTATTTATTTTTCCCCAAATTGCCATAGTTAAAGGTCTCACAATTGTGCTGTTTACATTGTATTGCTGTAGCCATGCTGCTAATTGGCCATTTCAACATGTGTCACTTCCTAATATTCTCAACAGAGGCCGCCACACCTAATCCAATCATCTGTTTCTCTTTGGCTAGGGGCTTGTTCCTTTCTTTGTCAGCGCGACTGCCGGAACAACTGTCTATGGCGCCTTTGATCCACTTATTGCTGTTTCAGATATTTGCAAAAAGTATAACATCTGGATGCATGTGGATGTGAGTAAGCCAAAGATTACACTGGATGTCTGCATTTATAGCATACATTTCATACCATTACCACCTAGGGCTGCTCAGATATGCTTGTTGTCCTGAGCAGATTTTGGCACCAGTGACATGCTTGAAGCTAGAGCTCACTAGTGACAAATGTATTATGTGCTGTGGCCTGACCCAGATAGGAGCTAGCCATTTCCTATCTAACAGTGGAGATGAGAAAAAGTGGAACAGAGGCCGTAAATCATCCCGGGCCTGACTTTGCCATCACGGCTCTCGCTCTGAACTGTATTAATGAAGGTGATTCAGACTTGACAGGGGACACCTCTATTAGAGACACAAATGGCTTTGTCTATCATTTCTCAAGCAACTCGGCTGGAAAAATCATGACTTATTTTTCAACTCTGATTAATTTATGTGCAAGTGCAAACCAATTAATGGTCAACAAACTGTATGGCAGGTGGGATACAAATGATGGCAATTGTCAATTAAATATAAAAGACTGTTATAAGAAAGACTTATAGTCATGCTCCATTTTGCTGAATAAGTATACATAATTCTTCCTTTATTAATGCATATTTGTGATCAGGGTGCTTGGGGAGGGAGTCTGCTCATGTCAAGGAGACACCGGTGGAAGCTGGATGGTGTTGAAAGGCAAGTTATTATTATAATCATTATTGTGTTATCTTAAAAAGCTGACCAAACCTATAAAAGGCCTCACAAATGCTTTGTTTTCCTGCAGGGCCAATTCAGTAACATGGAACCCACACAAGATGATGGGTGTGCCTCTGCAGTGTTCTGCTCTGTTGGTCAGAGAGGAGGTGCATTTATCACTTTGTTTCATATCTACTATTTTCTTTGACTATGATTCACAGATCATTATGTGACTTGTCTTTACTGTGCTGTCAGGGTTTGATGCAGAGTTGCAACCAGATGCACGCCTGCTACCTGTTCCAGCAGGACAAGCACTACGACCTTTCCTACGATACCGGGGACAAGGCTCTGCAGTGTGGACGCCATGTGGACATCTTCAAACTGTGGCTCATGTGGAGGGCCAAGGTACTCCTTGGCAACCATATTACTCTTTATCCTTTAGTAACATTGATGACATTGCTATTTTGTCCTTACTTAAGATTTGTTATTTAACTTTGTCTGTATTGTTGTGGTCACAGGGCACCATTGGCTTTGAGGCTCAGATAGACAAGTGTCTGGAGCTGTCAGAGTACCTCTACAACAAGATCAAGGACAGAGAAGGATATGAGATGGTCTTTGATGGGAAAGTACGTCCACATTACTTGTACTTTCACTACTATATAACAGCCCAAAGCACTCTTTGTACCCAGTGTATTTACTGTCATTATGGGGACTTGACAGGGACATGGGGTGCCCCTGCTTTGTGTTGGATGAATGCCTTTTTTACCACTAGCCGCTAGTATAATACACTGCTATTATCCTTTATGAATAGCGTAATAGGCCATAATTGCCTCTATGCATATGAATAGAGCAGTGTGTGAAATATACACACAGCACACGGCCTATGACAGGGCTATTAGGGCAAACACTTGATTTCTGAGAGTGCCTGCACACACACAGTGTATAGTGAAGGCGCTGTTGCCTTAAGGCCTATTGTTTTCCTGCTGAGCCATAAAAGGCTATGGGCTGCCTCACCCAGTGGGTGATGGGGAGAGGGCCAAGTCCTTTGGGCACCAGCCCAGGTGCTCACTGGTCTGCACCTCCCATTGAGCTATTACATCCATCTGATGCATAGTGCACAGAGACAGGCCTGTATAAAAGAGGCTGTGTGCGTGGCTACTCGCCTGTGGGTAATGCATCCTCCTCTCAGACACCAGAGAACTAGAAGTCAGGCAGAGGTTTTAGTCAGAGACATAACAGCCAAATAGACTGGACCACACCTCCAATGCTGAAAAAGTACATATGGAAAAAAGTGAAAAATAAAAAGATGTGGATCAGGAACCATTGTAGATACATAGATATGATGATTAAATACATATAATAATAGGTGCAAATGTACCCACCTGTCTCCCTCTGTATTCTTTGTCCCACAGCCTCAGCACACCAACGTCTGCTTCTGGTACCTGCCCCCTGGGGTCCGCTACATCGAGGACAAAGAGGAGAAAAAGAAACAGTTGCATAAGGTGGGTCCGATGGAAAAATACTGGGCTGGGAATGTTGTATTACAAACACACACAGGAAGATACAACTGTGCTATCAGAGAGGCCATTTTGTCGTGATTGACAATCAGTGTGAACAGATGGGCCATGAGGCAGCTATACAAATAACTCATATTACTGTGTATGACCTTTAGTAATAAATGCTTACAGTACATATTTGCTTAGAGCAAGGACAGTGGTCATGTTTGGTTGGTTTTAGTGGTCAGTGCTTAAATTTATGTTCCGATGAATGTGACCCTGACTGTCTCCAGACCTACTGGGAAAGTGATAACTAGCTTTGTAGCAGCTTTGTGGAAATTGACATGCAATTAGATTAGATTTTCCATTATGAAAATCTAAAAGGAAAGAATTTGCTGTTAAAAATTTGAAACTACTGAGCCTGTTCTGAGTCAAAGTCACTAAAACGGTTGTTGTGAAATTACCAGCAGAGTAACATTCAAAGTTGTAATTGAAGGTGCCACTACAAAGGCCTTCATAAGGCCTGGTGTCACAGAGATAACCCTGTCCATGGCAGCAGCAGTCACAGCTCAGGAGCACACAGCTGTCCCATTCAGCTGTCACAGGCCCCAGATAATGACACACACACACACCCGGATCACAGCACTGATGAGCTCCTACTTATCTCTACAAGGATATGGGGGTGCAAGAACAAGATTAGGCACTAGAAATGTGGACCTGAACAGTTTTTAGAAGAAAAGTATTTATTGTTGGAAAGGTAGATACTTTTATATGATACAAATATGATTCAGGTAAAATGTTAACAGCTTTTGCTTACAAGTAAAGTAGTAAATATTTTATTGTTAATAGTTGCTTAAGATGCTAATGTTAATTAATGCTAATTAATGCTTATTAGTTGCAATGCAAAAATCATGTGTCTTATACTTGTTCAGATTAAAGTTAAAACTGTTCAGGAAAGACAAATCTTTTTGTCTTTGTTTCCGGTTTTCATATTTTAGTATTGATTAGTATCAGATTTTCAATACTTTGATAACCCTATCATTTTGCTTAATGGAAACACACCTTGTGTGTTATTAAATGCCAGTATTATTTTATTTTGATTGATTGATTGCATTTATATAGCGCCTTTCAAGATACCCAAAGCGCTTTACAGTTCATTATTCAGTCACTCCACACTCAGTGGTGGTAAGCTACTACTGTAGCCACAGCTGCCCTGGGGCAGACTGATGGAAGCAAGGCTGCCAATCTGCGCCATCAGCCCCTCCGACCACCACCATCACTCACGCACACACCACTTTCATACTAGGCAATGTGGGTGAAGTGTCTTGCCTAAGAACACAACGACAGTTTTTTTGCCACTGGCACCCCACTGTGGCACCTGGAATTCCTAGCAGTCTCCCATCCAAGTACTACCCAGGCCCAGCCTGCTTAGCTTCTGAGATCTGACAGGATCAGGCTTTTACAAGCTGGTATTGTTTGTTGAATTTTTGAAAAGACAGTACAGATTGGACAAGACCTCATAACACAAGTCCTTGCAAGATTAAATTGTTTCAAGGTTGTGCACACATGAGAGGAATGATCTTAATAATACTTTTATAGTGAGAAACTTTTTAGAAATAAGAAATCATCCAACTTTTCATTGCAAAAACTCTGTAATTGTTATAAATGTAATTGCCTGTTGAAGCTCAAATGTGTCCCAGAATCCACCTTTCTCTGACCTCAGAGGAGCACACAAGGACTGTACAGGGACAGAAATAGCTGCCATGTGACTTAGCTATTGTGTCTTTCTCCTTGCGTTACAATGGAAATGCGTATGTGCTGCTGCAGGTGGCCCCGGTAATAAAGGCACGCATGATGGAGTACGGCACCACCATGGTCAGCTACCAGCCACAGGGGGACAAGGTCAACTTCTTCCGCATGGTCATCTCCAACCCGGCCGCCACATTCGAGGACATCGACTTTCTTATTGAGGAGATCGAGAGGCTGGGACAGGACCTATAAGACTCCTCTGCCCCGCCCCATGTCCCCCTTTGACGGATGATGATATGTTTGTGGTGAATGTACTGGTAAATCTTCCTTTTCTCTTTGGTCACTTTTTAAAAACTATACTTTTAACAGACATAATTAAGCAACATAGACTTAATTCATAAACAAATATTTTATTGAGAACGATTCAGGCCTAGTAACTACCGTACTTAACCCTAACAACTATAAGGCTGTAGTCGACTAAAGACATGTGTAGCCGATTGATTAGTCTAGACTAAAAAGGGGGTGTGGTAAAAGCTCACTAAACTATTACTTATCCCTATATATCTGACCCAAACGCCACTCACAGCATTACAACTACAAGTACACAACTATTTATGCAGAAAAAGTACTATGAAACAATATACTTATGTAAAGTCAGATTAAACTTGTAAATCATGAGTTTCATCTGCCTTTTTACATATAAATACCAAAAATACCTCTGCTATTGTCCCATATAAATCGTTATAATTAAGTTAAATGATTAGTCAACTAATACAAATTTTGGACGACCAAAACACCATCACTTGTTAATCGAGTAAACGACTAAAAGCCTACAACCGTAAACTCCTGACCCTTAAAGTAGTTTCTAAGCATGTATCATTCTAAATAAAATATCTGTCCATTATGAAGTAAGTCTTTGCTCATGCTTTATTAAGTCATGAATAAGTGTAGTTACAAAGTGGAACCCTCTCTTCCCTCCCTATTTAAAAGTATATTGAAAAAAATATATTAACTCTATAGATATAATCATATATGTATTGTAGCTTTTCTGTGGACGGCCTTGGTCCAAAAGGCAAACTGCTTCTGTCTACTTTCCCTATAGTGGCATAGAGTTCTCCGAGTAGTGTAAGTGACGTACGTTTGTAACTTTTGTGATCTGATACGCTTGTGCAATAGAAAGAAAACGTTATTTTTGGAAATCATTATTATCATTTTGCCGTTGGTAAGTGCCAAACGTGCTTGTGTTCTATTGTAACTTAACATTTGGAACTTGTAAATGAAAAATAGCACTTCACCTTACCTCAGCTTGAGTAACTGCCTTCACATCTGCACAATTCTCTGCTGGTAACACCAACACAGCACCCCCCAATAACTCAAACCTGTTTTTATGCATGGAACAGTAGTATGACGTTCAGTAGTGTTGTTAATTACATGTAAAGGACTGTCATTTTGTAAGCCACCAGCTACTGTATATGTGGGACCATTTGTAATCAAGCAGTATATTCCACTGTATGTAGGGTGCTTTCTGTGTCATATGAGGGTAATAATAGAAACAGCGCTGCCATTCGAGGTCATGTAAAGTTACGATCCTTAATATTTTTGGAATTTCATTTAAGCATGTCAAAAACTTTAATGGGGCAACCAAAGACTAAAACATGGTGGTATGCCTTGAGATAATAAGGATTGTAACTTGATAGAAACCTACTTAAAATGTCATTCTCAGAGGTTGTTCAAAAGCACTTAGTGAAAGCCAGGGTGTTGCAAGTACTGGCACTATCGGAGTTAGGCTTGAGAAGAAAACAAGATAGCAGCTCATGTATACCTGACTTGCACTAAATCATTAGGGACAGGTGTCTCCCTTAGCATTGCAATTTTGTTCATTCACAAGCAATATTCGGATCTGTAAAAACTGCAAAACAATTCCAAACAGACAGTGAAATCTGGTGTGATCAAGGATAATCATCAGTAGAGTAGTGAGCTCATACCTGGAGGTTACAGGTAAAGAACCCTGCTCTAAGCTGAGGGTTTGTAGCATTTTATTAGAAGTTAGACAAGCACAATTTGCTCTTCATGGTCGCTCAGTGTACAATCATAGAGTGTAAATAGACTTTCAAGATGTCCTAAGTACATATCCTTGTGTATACATATGTGTATATAAGACATGTAAGCAGAGACTATTTGTGAGCTAACCATATTTTCTCTATCTTCAGCACAGCCGTGTTGTTAGGCTTTTTCCTGTGTGTTCGTATGTCAGATACTTGACTTGGTTTGTGACTCCAGCTCTTTCAAAGAAATGTTTCAGGGACTGGCTTTAAAGGAGATGGTGGCCTCTGCCTCTGGCTGTCAGAGAGGTGAGGTGCAGCGTGGCTTTCTGACCATTATGCAAAGCCATTAGGACTCTGAAGCTGTGTTTTGTGCACAAGTGATACTTGACAGTGTGTGCCGATGTGTACTTAGTGTGTCTGTATATCTCTTGTTTGTTGCCTTAGTATTACAGTATTGTCTCGTTTTCCTCCCACAGGAGGCCGTGCACTTTAGAGTATACACATGACCCAATAATGTGCAATGTTCCATGGTTGTTTCTAAGTGGCTGTTTCAAATATGTAACTCAAGCTTGTTGGTCTGAATGTGTCAAAGCAAGAGTCTGTTCCAAAAGAGGCTTATTTTTGCTGAGTAAAGAACTATGTAACCGTCTTACATCCCAAAGTAGTGTCCGCAACACAAAGTGAAAAGTCCTTTTGAAAAGTGTATATATTTGCAGTGAATGGGCACACACTATGACACAGACAACATGAGGCACTGCTCCAGTACAAAGCCCCTGTGGTGGTCTTGGACATTCTGTTCTCTGCTGCTGCTGCTGCTAGACCGCTGCTTCCTTTGCACGTGCATGCACTGCCTTGCCTATCCAGCTTGTTTGATATCCTGTGCTATCTATCTATCTATTTCTATATATTCTATATCCGTATACCAGTGTGTGTAGCTTTGTAATTAGCATTAGTGTGGGATGTATAGCCGGCCTGTAGAATAGTGCTCTGTCGCTCTAGCCTTTACATGTGATCTCTATGTCCTTGCTTGGTGTAACTCTCTTGTGCTAAGCATGCTAACCTCGCCTTGCATTACTCTTCTCTGCGCTTTAAGCTCTCTCTCTCTTCTGTCTTTCTCTTCTGCTTGAGCCTGTCGCTGCTTGGATCCTAGCCTCTTATATCTGTGTGTAGTCCCTCCGCATGTCTATGGGAACGCTGCTTTCTGCTCTGCTCTGTATGACTTCTATCCTTCTCTCTTTCTGGCGCTTGGCCTCTGGTAGCAGTGACGCGTATATCTTTCCTCCAATGTTTCTTGGCTGCCTACTGTGGGTCTGTTTGGGTGGTCTCCATGGTGACCTGTGTCATGGTGTGAAATCAGCAGCACTTGTCTTTACCAAATACCAACTGAAATTACTGGGATGTATGAGTGGTAATATACTATTTATTGTCAATGCATAGATATTATATGAATATTTGCTTTTACAGAACTATTCTTTATTGTAACAGATATTAAGCCAGAGTGCAGTATGTTCTCTGAATATGGTGCAATTTAATGATATATTCTAAAACCAATGTGCTCGCTTCTCTTAAACGTTCATTTGTCCTCAGATACTATATGTTACTCTTAAGAAGATAGAAATAAATATTGTCTATTCAATCTACTGTGTTCTCTTTCTTTGAGGAAATAAAGATTTAATTGGATCGAATTTCACTGGATTGAATTATCTTGACTATGTATTATACAGAACACATATAAGACCACATATCACATATACACCCATGGACCACTATGGAACGTACCTGGACAAGTGAGACATTACACAGATATAAGACCACATGGTAATATAAAAGAAAAAAACAACAACAATTTAATGTTGAAAATTACATTCTATTATCCAAAGAAAGTGTTTTTATTATCATAACGGTGTTGGAATCAGTATGAAATCAAGTTTGAAATTTCGGTATCATGACAGCCTCTTAAATATTTACTTTTAGAAACTTGGTAACTTGTGTCATGTGAGGACTTGTTACACCAGAAAGACCTGAGAAATATGATAACAGCATTTTACAAACCACAATATTTAAATAAAAAATGATTGACACGCTATTACGTCCGTTCATACCCACTAGATGGCACTGTTTCCTCACAATTTACTCTCCTGATAATATCTGACTATAGAATATACAGTCTGTGATGCTGACACTTTTTGATCAGTAATGAGCATTTTGTATTTTAGCTTCAGAGATTTTCAATTTGCAAAGATAAGCACGTTAGTGTGTTTATACATATGGCATTCTGGGACCTATTTGTTGATAGATAAGTTGCATAAGCAAATTGTAAAAGAAATGTAGCCAAATAGATTTCTCCATACATAAACCATTTCTCCATACATAAACCATAAACCATACATTTTCAGAACCTTTACAAAACTCAAATATTTTCTAACCCAAACTACTAATATGCCCAGTTCTTTCCCAATAATTTCTTAAAAAAAAAAAAAATGACAATACAATTCAGATACAAATATGATTTCTAGTTTCATTTCCTCACCTCCTGCTTTTAAATGTCATACTTTAGCCTATAAAGAATGTGTGCAGTAATAATATGACCATTTAAACCAGATGTACAATCAGAAGTAGAAGTTGGCACCTTCGTGTTTAAACCTATAAAGAGTTATTATCCATGACATTGCCCATTAGAATATAGGCCGCAGACCTCTAGCACGAGCTCTAGTCATAACTTATGTTTATGGTACTCAGTCCGACAAATGAAGCGGAGTGTACGCCATAAAAGAATTAGCAGGTGCTTAAGAATGGTTTAAAACTGAGCTGTGGGAAAATGACTAGAATAAATAACTCTTGAATTTTAGAAGTCAACTGAGAACAGGGAATAACAGAAGTCATAGTAGTAGTAGTAGCGGTAGTAGTAGTAGTAGTAGTAGTAGTACTAACACAGTACCAACATCAGACGTGTTCATATCTTGCCAGGTGTTGTAAAAAAATATGTAGCTTATTCTTTTTTTCATTTTTTATCTTCATCCAAAGCAAATCATTTGAGTTTTAAGATTTTACTACAAAATATATGCATATTTTTAAATTTCATTTAAATGGATTAAGGGTGACATAATTAATCCTATTGTCACACTATGCACTTGTATTGCACTTGTATTTTGTATTGTAGCTTACTTAAATCCACAGTTACATTTTAGAAAAAACTGACAGAATCAT